TGGATTCAACACGTGTGCTGGAAGCTTCCCCAGCACACCCACAGAGGGGACAGTGGAAGCCACATGTCTGCATCTGAGCCGGCTGATCAGAAGTCTAAGTGATCAGGCCACTGGCATCTGAAGTAGAAGCAGTTTTTGGGGGATGGTGTCCTTAACCTGTGGGACTTGACACTGTCTGCTGGTAGACAATCTCAGAATTAGATTGGATGAATGGCCAGCAAGAGTCTACTGGAGAACTGATTGTGTGGGGACCTACCACCTCCCATCTGAAGTACTGTGTTGGATAGTGTATGAACAAACACAGGGTTTTTCCTTATATCTTTATAGGGCATCTCTTATATTTATTCCCTTTACCTTTCTTCCCAACTCCTTACCAGTAAAATGCAGACAACAGCCTTCACCTGTCAGGATGGGTCTGCAGATTTAAGAAGACAGGGCCTGGTGCATGGGAGGTACTTAACTAGGGGTTTTCATGGAGGTGAGTTCAAGATTACTGTCATATAACTTTATTACGGACACACAATCTGGTGTGGTTGATTCAAGATGCTTGCTGAAGCACCCCACGACACACTTTCAAGCCAAGGTACAGTGTTGTCTTAGCAGTGAAGCTTTCCTGGAAAGCCAGGCCATGTATTAAGGTGTGTGGCCACCATCTGAAGGGGTTCTGCACAGACTATAGCTGAAATTAAAGCATTTGTGGAAACTGACAATAATGTGGTTTCCTTGGTCCACACTCACTTTCTTTATGTTCTAATTTCAAGACACTAGAGATAAGCATAACCTAGTCTACAGAGTGCTAGACAGGCTCTTGAGGCATCCTCTGCCAGTGGGGATTTGATAGCTAAATACAGGAATGCTCAGACTGAGGGTGAAGCTGAGCAGTTGACCTCAGCCTTGGCTTCTACTTCTCTACCCCCCTCAAAAAACAAACAAACAAACAAACAAACAAAGGAGTTGCCCTCCTTGGGACGTTGCAGGATCTCCTGAAGCACATCAGGATGCTAGAGCCGATGTAAGGAGAAGGCATTCCACTGTACATGCTCAGGAGTCGCCTTCCTTGTATATGTCACTGTAGAGTAGTGAATTACTGTGGAATAGTAGAGTGGTTCACCACCCTCCACGTTCGTCAGTGATATTTTTAGTTAGAATACAATTAAAAGTTTCCATTCACAGATATTTGGAAAGTTGAAATGTCAGCTGACTCCTTAGAGTTCTTGGCTGCCCATACAGCCCAGGGTAAAGCTAGAGAATTGGTTCCTCATGGTTGACAATCAGCCTGCTGGACCTAGTCAGAGAAGCAATCACTGTGTGTGGGGCGACCCCTGCTGTTCACAGGGCAGAAGCAGGTAAGAGAACCAAGTCAGGGACCATATGGAGCAGAGGTTCTCAACCTTCCTAACACTGCCACACTTTCACACAGCTCCTCATGTTGTGGTGACCCCCAACCATAAAATCATTTTCGTTGCTACTTCATAACTGTAATTTTGCTATTGTTACGAGTCATAATGTAAACATCTGTGTTTTCCGATGGTCTTAGGCTACCTCTGAGATATGGTCATTCAACTCCAAGGGGGTTGTGACCCCCCCCAGGTTGAGAAACACTGAATGGAGGCTCTCACCTCAAACTGCAAAGAATCATGCTTGAGGGCCGAGAGATGACTCAGTGGGGGACGGCGCTTGCTGATTTCAGTTCATATGGTGGGAGGAGAGAACTTACTCCTCCTGCAAGTTGTCCTCTGACCTCCACACAAAATAAACAAATAAATGAATGTGTGAGCGTGCGAGAGGGAGAGGAGAAAGAGAGACCCTGCTTGCTCAAAGTTACATGTTATAGTTCAGAAGCTGAGACCCAGAGGTGAACCCAAAGAAGTCAAATGCCCTGTCTGCTTTCTCTCAAATAGTTCAGTCTTGGAGGAGAAGCAGCTGGATGCCCTGATGTGGGCCTTCTTTGAGTGTCTTTCACCTTTGTATAAATTAGAAAGCACATCATAAATTTATTCTGCCCGTGTCTCTGAAACATTTTAAATTACTTATTTGTGTGTGTTGCCGTGGCCTGTGGAGGTCAGAAGACAACTTGTGGGAGTCACTTCTCTTCTTCTACCGTGTGGTCCAGTGGATCAACTCAGGTCATCAAGCTTGGCAGCAAGTGCCTCTATACAATGAACCATCTTGTTCCAACTTTTCTTGTTAGGCATGAGTGTGCACGCACGTGTGTGTGTGTGTGTGTGTGTGTGTGTGTGTGTGTGTGTATGTGTGTGTGTGTGTGTGTGGTGTGGGTGTGTGTGTGGTGTGTGTGTGTGTGTGTGTGTGCATGTGTGTGTATATGAATATGAATGCTGAAGCTGGAGATTAACATTGAGTATCTTCCTTGATCATTTTCCACCTTGTGTACTAAGGCAAGGTCTTTCAGTTAACATGGAGCTGGCTGATTCGGCCAGTCTAGCCAGCCAGCCTGTTCCATAGATCTCCTGTCTTCATCTCCTGAGTGCTGGGATTACAGGTGGCCACCATGCCTGCCTGACTTTTATGTGGATATTGGGGCTCTGAACTCAGACCTTTTGTGCTTGCACAGTGTCTTAGTTAGGGTTTTTATTGCTCTGAAGAGACACCATGACCACCGCAACTCTTATAAAGAAAACATTTCATTAGGGTGGCTCCCATACAGTTCAAAGGTCCACTCCATTATTATCATGGTGGGGAGCATGGCGACATGCAGGCAGACATGGTGCTGGAGCTGAGAGTACTACATCTTGCAGGCAATAGGAAGTAGACTCACCAGTCACACTGAGGGAACCTTGAGCAAAAGAGACCTCAAAGCCCGCCCCCACAGTGACATACTTCCTCTAACAAGGCCACACCTCCTAATAGTGCCATTTCCTTTGGGGGCCATTTTCTTTCAAACCACCACAAACAGCAAGCACTTTTCCCACTGAGCCATCTCCCTAGTCCTGAAAAAAAAAATCTATTATTACAAAAAGTTATTATCAGCCAGGCAGTGGTGGCACATGCCTTTAATCCCAGCACTCAGGTGGTTCTCTGAGTTTGAGGCCAGCCTGGTCTAGAGAGTGAGTTCCAGGATAGTCAAGGCTACACAGAGAAACCCTGTCTCAAAAAACCAAAAAAAAAAAAATTTTTTTTTAAGTTATTATCAAAGAGAGCACTCTCCCATTTAACTCTAACTACTCATTTCCACTTGCCTCTGGCCACAATTACGAAATTTGTGCTTAAAATAAAATGTGAGTTTAGATATAAAAAGAGAGATATTAAACTACCAAAAAGGATTCAGTTCTAAAAAAATGCCATCAGAGAAGTAAAATAAAACATAGGAACATTTCATATAGGAGCTAGGAGTGTGACAACTCACCCTAACCCCAGGCTGGGATCTGTACTAGAAAGTGGAGGATCTTACAAAACACACTGTCAGGTCAATTGTGAAAACGGACTATGCGACAGGCTCGGTAAAGGTATCGTCAGTATTCAGGTTTCTGCCCTTCATTGCTGCGGTCATACAATAAAATTCTCATTTTTAGGAAATACTTACTTGATGCATTTAAGGACCTATGGTGTACACGACTTACCCTCAAGCAGTTCAGGGAAAAGTATGGATGTATGTGAGTGGAGAGAGAGTGAAAGGAGTATAGAGAAAGCTGGTCCACCTGAGCACAGATGGAAGGCTCCAGGGCGGGCACTGTATGGGTTCTTTGTTCCACTTTGTAAGTTTTTGTTAAGCTTGAAATTACTTCCAAAGAAATGATCTAAAGTAGATGGATGCAGCAGGCCTATGTAGTCCCAGCACTCAGAAGGCTGAGGCAGGAAGATCTCAATTACTGTGTCAGCCTGGGCTGCATAGTGAGGCCCTGTCGCAAACAAAACAATACAAAATAGATCTTGTAACTTAAGGAACTAAAGTTTATGAAAAAGTACTTTTCCAATTAAAAATAACCATTTTGACATATAAAAATTGTGTGTGTGTGTGTGTGTGTGTGTGTGTGTGTGTGTGTGTGTGTGTCTCGTGTGCATGTGCACAGGAGGGCAGAGGTGTGTCACAGTCCCCCGGAGCTGCAAGTGGTCGCAATCTGTCTGCTCTTGGTGCCGTGGACCAAATTCCAGTCCTCTTCAAGAACAGTACACATGTTTAACTGCTGAGCCATCTCTCTAGCCCTATATATGATTGTAAAAATTTACCCACTTTGTGGCATGTTTTTTAAGCAAAGCATGCACTATCAAAAGAGCTTATGAGATCACGAGGGAGAGGTAAGCTGGGGGATAAGGTGAAGTTTCTGTAAGTCCTATCTAACCTATTCATGCGTAATGAAAACCTGCTATGCTGTGCACAGCTCTGCCCATTCTGCTGCGATTGTCCAAGGCTCAGAATGAGAGCTGGTGGTATAGGACCGTACTCACAGCTACTCAAGGCTGACGCAAGAGGACCACAAGTTCACAGCCAGCCTGAGGAATACGGGGGAGTGACCACCAGCTTTTATTGGGTGTGAAGTAGCCATGCTGGCCCAGTCTTAGGGTCTCAGTTTATTGTCTCCTGGGCTTTGGAGAGGAGGCAGTCAAGCTGGGACACACTTTAAATTTTTCAAAGCATCCAAAGATTTAGTAACTACAAGAATCTCAGGATTTAAAACCCCTGGTTACACAAGCCCTTCTGTATTAGGGTTCTTCTAGGTCTTGCCTGGGCAACTTAAATGTTTCAAAAGAAAAAAGTAAAATGAGGACAGAGAATACAGCTCACTCTTAGAGCTTTTGCCTAAAATATACATGGTCCTGGCTTCAAACCCTCGCAGGTTCCCAGCCCCACAGCAGGTACTGAGAGACACCAAAGAATTCTGCTCCTCCACTGAATAACCAAGAAGCATCTCTGGGGCGCCATTTCCCCTCGCGGGTGTACTTGTGTGTGTATGGGGCAGGGGCGTAGAGGGGTGGCAGATGGCACCGGATGCGGAAATCGCTGCAGGGATCACTGGGGAGTGTAGTTCCTCGGGCAGAGGCGCTGAGCGGAGAATGACTACGATTTAGGAACGTGGTCTTTGGAAGGAGGATAAGGCCTCTAGGTGCCGCAGCGCTCACACTCCAGCTAAGCGTAGCACTCAGCCAGAAACGGACCGATCGGAGGACAATGGGAGCTGCGGGCGGTCCAAGCTAGTGGGTGGCGCGGGGCATGCTGGGAGGCGTGGTTCCTGCGCCTGGAGGATCCTGGGTGATGTAGTCCCGGCGCCTGTGGGGTAGGGTGGGGGTCACTCCTCAGCTGGTGGCCGGAGCAGCCCCTTGTTCTTTGGTGGCGTTGGTGAGTGCCTCTCCCGCGGGGCTCTGTTCTGGACCGAGAGGAAGATCCTGCAGGGCTGGTCTAAGGTCTAGCCTGGGCACTGGGCAGTAGTGCTGGAATCTGGGAGCTGAGGGGACGCGCAGGCACGGGTGTGTTATCTTGGGGGTGTGGGCACGCACCTCTGAGGGAGTGGTGTGAGCCTCAGCTGTGAACCCCAGTGTTATGTGGGTGCAAGGCTTGGCCTTTCTGTGTTAGGATTGTTGCGGGTGGGGACAGGTTCAGCGTTGGTTGAAATCGCGGTATTGTAAGAGGAGCTCGCTCATGCTCTAAGTGCTCACGAAGGTGCGGCTTAAGTGAGGAGACTTTTAGGGGTGTGATATTTACTAGGTGTTGGGGTGGGACGGTCTAGGTCTATGTGCCTCTGGAGTTTTTTTGTTGTTTTGGGGAGCTGGTGGTCTTTGGGTCCTACCACTCCTCAACTTTGCTGGAATGTGGTCAGGGCCCCCTGACCCAGCCAAATAAGTCCAGATTTCACTGAGTGTCAGGTGGCTGTGTTGACCCATTCTTAGGGTCTCAGTTCAGTGTTCCCCACTCCAAGTTAGGGCTTTGGAGAGGAGGGGGTCAAACTGGGACCCATTCCTCAAGTTTTTTTTAAAGCATCCAAAGACTTAGTGACTGCAAGCACTTTTAAATTGCATTTTACTGTTTTGTTAAGGAGACATTTCAAACAGCCGGAAAGATATAAAACTCCAAAGACCTGTCACCCAGACCCAACACTTGCCATCTTGTGGCTAACCAGGATTCATCTCAAAGTGAACACACTAAGAATCCTTACAACCCTACAGACTCTGGTCTTCACAGCCGTGATTTCACAAGCTGTCACTTCACAGTTTTGTCACCTTGGCAAGGGCCTGATCTCATCGAGTCTCCAGTCTCATGTGTAAAATGATAGTAACAGCTCCCCTGAGTTGTTGTAAGGCTAGCATGAAGACTGCCTGGAACAGTCTCTGGAATGTTCTAAGTGTCCAGTAAGTACTGACTTTCATTACTACTGGCAGAGAGGATTATCTTACACCTCCCATCAGCAGCATGCCAGGGAAGGCTGAGTTCTTAGGCTCCATCCCAGCTCGCTTTCTAGGAAGTACCCACAATTCTCCTCATCTTGTCTTCCGAGGCAGGTCCATTCCTAATGCCTTTAAGGAAGAAGAGGTGCAGTGCCCTGCTGGAGCTTGAGGATTTCCAAGGACTTTGCTGAACCTTTTGTTTGTTTGTTTGTTTTTTGTTTATTTTGTTCTTGTGCTTCCCAGGACCCCTGGCTGCCTACAGTACCTCCTGCTGGGGAGAATGCTTTTGGGTTCCTGACTGCCCAGTGTCAGGTGAGTGTCATTCATTTTTGCATCCTGAATCAGGAGTAGGTTTCTGTTGCTCTCTTTCAACATCTTGTATCTCATGGTGTCCCGCTGGGGATCAGAACCCCAGCTGGTTCCTCCAGGAAGATCACCTTGTTCTAAGGGTGACAGTTTTCACGGGGAATATCGAGGCCTGGTGTGCTCACTTATTACACCTCCAATCATTTCCCCTGCATTCTACCTCAGCATTTGGTTAGCCGAGGGCTTGTCAGGAGCCAGCCTGGGTCTGTCCTCATTTACTGTTTGTCCTGCTGGAATAGTTTCCAGGAATTTTCAGTTATTTTCCTGGCACCCTACTTTAATAGGCATCTCTAACACCTAGTGACATCTGCACACACACACACACACACACACACACACACACACACAATTTTATTTTAAAAGATGTACAACTTTAGTGTGTACAATTTCATTGTTACACCCAACAACATGTGTAACTTGTTAATATGATTTAATATTCAGTCCATATGGAGTTTGATTTTTGTTGTTTTCTTTTTCTCTCCAGTCATAACATCTGTGATGAAAGGCGGGTAAAGGAGAAGTATGTGGAATTCAGCAAGCTGGCTTTCTCTTTCTATGTCCTTCCTTCGGTTTCTCTGGGCCTTGCTTGTTTGGGTTTAACCGCTGTAACTTCTAGCTGGCTGGCTGAGTTTGCCTTCCTCCTTTGTTCTTTCCAGATTCACTTTCTCTGTGATTGGCTGTGGAATCCTCTAGTTCCACACGTGCTCACTTAATTCCGAGAACTGTATTTTCCGCCCGCTTGTCACTTGCACACTGGGGTAAGGCTCTTTCATTTCCACACACCGGGATCTGATCTGACTCCAGCCTGCTCTTCTGCAGCTGTGCTCCACCCTACTATGTTCCGGTAATTCTTTAAAGGGGAGCAGAGACCTGGCGACTCCTTTTTAGGTTGCTCAGACTCACAACCTTGGGGGCATCCTTGATTCTTGTTTTTACTGTCTACAGTAGCCACATCTGAAATCCAATGACCTCTAACCCCTGCCGCTCCCACTGTGGTCTGGGTCACCATTTTCCATGGAAGATTGTTGTCTCTGGACCTCTTCACTTTGTCTCTTACCCTGCCCCAAGACGCGTTGGTACAGAAACCACAAGGATCTTTTCAGCTAAAAATCAAATTATGTCATCCATTTACAAAACCCGTTCCCAGTGGCTTTTCCTCCTAATCAAAGTTAAAACCAGTGTCCCCCAGCGCTAGGTCTCATTGCCCCATGAGATGTTTACGTTTGGACTTCATCTCCACTCTTCTGTTCTGACGCACCACATCAGCCACATCCATTGCTCCTTTACTTTGGCAGCCTTTACCCAGGCTGTTCTCTTGTCTGAGATATTTACTCCCTCACACCCTTCAGATCCTCTGTGACCTTTTAGAGCTCTCTCTAATTACTCTATTTAAAATTCCAGAGCCCCACCACTTCTGTTACTACTTTTCTTCTGTGTGTATCCATGTTTGTTAAACTGTATGTCTTATTCATTCATCTATTCATCCAGACTGTGGTCATTTATGTTGAACCATACAAGATAATACTCTCAACACCTTTGGTGCTTTAGTGGGTTCACAGGAAGACTGGGGTCAGCAAGGACCCCTGGTCTCACCCTCTTCGTGTAGCATGTTGTACCTGGCCCCCTGTCTTGGTGTGTTCTCTCCAGGAGAGTAGTTGGAACTTAATACATTGTATCTTAGGATTCCCAAGAGTGAAAGCTGTCTAATGTTCTTCAGATGTAAGCTTATGGTACAGTGTTACCTGAATCACATTTATTAGTTAAAGCAGAGGCAATTCAAAACCAAGGTTTAAAGCTGGGATAATTTGAACAGGAGAAAAACATAGTGATAATATATTATATTATAATCCCAAAGATAAGAACCCATCTAGACATAAATAAAAACTGAATTCAATAAACAGGGAGATGGGACAGCTGTTCTTATAGAGTTCTAATTAATGAATTTAGGATGGACAGGGGAAAGAGAACATTGTCATTTTGTACATACCACAATAATAACTAGTGTGATGGGCTTCACACATGTCTGGTTAAGTCAGTGAGTGGAGGTTGGAAGAGACACAGGTTATTGGTATAATCTCCAGCTGTCCCTCAGCAGTGTGACTGATACTGTTATACACACCAGGGAACCAGTACCTGCTCAAGTTACTGCTCTCTGTTCGTTGTGTATATGTTCAGAGTAGCATGGTGGAGCACACTGTCTTTTCGTGAGGAGCCACTGTATGATTTTGTGGCTATGCCATTTTCCATTCTCACCTGTAATGTGCAGTGACAGAGTTGTGATTTTGAAAACTTGATCGGAGGCTGGTTTCTTTTGCTTAATGTCCTCTGTGTTCTTCCAGACTCCTGGGCTCTCTAGTGGATGTCTTGGAGTTGAGGCAGCTTTTTTCACCTGTCTCATATTACTTTCATATTTGATTCAGGTCAGTCATCTGTTCGGTTTTGCTTTGGAGACAGGGTCTCTCTGCATGGTCCTGGCTGTCCTAGAACTCACTATGTAGACCAGGCTGTCCTCAAAATCACAGAAAGAGTAACTATAATGAATATTATACTTTGTCCATTTTCTTTCCTCACCTTCTCTCTAGTCCTTTTGCATCTTTCTTTCTTTCTTTCTTTTTTTTTTGTACTTTCAGGATTTTTTCTGGTCATTTTTAAATATCTGTCATTTTTATTTCAATCTATTTTCTTGGATATCTTGTAATTTATTCTTCACTTTTCATAAGCAATCCTACAAATAGGCTTTATCTGTGTTTTCTTTCAGAAGTCTAGTCAAATCTTCTTGGTGTCTAGATTTCACCTGCCCATTTCTCAGTTTCTTAGTTTTTGAAATTTGGATTCTAGATGCTCTCTCGTATGTTTCAAGATACTTAATTCAAGCTGGAGTTAGGATTTTGTTTGGTTCTTTTCTTTCCCAATATCTTTGAATGAGGTCATTTTTAGCTGAATTGTTTGGATTCTCATTTTTTGCTTTACATTTTAATTTAAAAAATGATTTTTGAGATATATTGTATTTTATGTGTATGGTGTTCTGCTCGTACGTATGTCTGTGCACCACATTTCTACAGTGCCTGTGGAGACCAGAAGAGGGCGTCGGATCCCCTGGAACTGCAGATGGTTGGGAGCTGCCATGTGGGTGCTGGGAATCGAACCCTGTCCTCTGGAAGCACAAACAGTGCTCTTAGCCCCTCTGCTTTGCATTTTAATAGATTCCTATGTAGATGTAATGGTCTTATTAAATAAGAAACACAGAGCCAAATGCAGAGTTAAAAGTCCAAGAGGTCAGAGCAGTAGCTAAAAAACTACTAAAAAACCCTTTCTTACCCTTTGCTGCCGTCCTTCCCCTCTGAAAGAGACCTACTTCCTGTGTGTCTGTCTTTTATTGACTGTTCTGCCTTCTTCTTTTTTTTTTTTTTTTGGTTTTTCGAGACAGGGTTTCTCTGTGTAGCTTTGCGACTTTCCTGGAACTCACTTGGTAGCCCAGGGTGGCCTCGAACTCACAGAGATCCGCCTGGCTCTGCCTCCCGAGTGCTGGGATTAAAGGCGTGCGCCACCACCGCCCGGCTTGTTCTGCCTTCTTATTGGTTGTAAACCAAACCACATGACCTCCTCGTCACTGCCTGTCTATACAGACCTCTAGGTCTCTATGGTTGGTATTGAGATTAAAGGCATGTGTCTCCATGCTGGCTGTATCCTTGAACACACAGAGATCTGCCTGTCATGTGATCGGGATTAAAGGTGTACGCCACCACCGCCTGGCTTCTGCTATGGCTTGCTATTAGCTCTGACCCCCAGGCAACTTTATTTATTAACATACAAATAAAATCACATTTCAGCACAAATATCACCATATTCCTATTTACATGTCTGCATTTCTGTAACCTGAACTGCCACATCCTAGTGTTTTTGAGGCCATCTCCCCCACCCTAGCTTGAGAAAATGCTTTTGTAAGCTTAAATATGGTTTCCATATTTGGTTGTCGAGGAGGGAGCGGTTATAAGTCCTCTGGTATCTGTTTTCATCTGTTTTGCTTTGCAGGAACCCGGATTCCCCTGGCTTGTTGCCCCTTTACCTTGCTGTTTCCCAGAAGGTACCTTTCTTCACACTCCTTCTAGAGAAAGCATTTTCACCTGACACCCTCTCCTTTCTGTTTTCCTTACCCATATGTACTTTCAAGATACCATCCTCCTTTGGGGAGGCTGGGAAGGTGGCTGCAGGGTCCCAGAGAACCGAGGGAATAGTGGTGAGTGCCTCCTGTCTTCATACCAGCTGTCGTGGGATGGACAGACTCTTCTCTTGTCCTGAATGTCGTGTGGGTGCTTACCAGGGTCCAGGGCCTGTTCCGTCTGAGTGATCGCACCTGCAGGCACCACTGAGCGTCCCTTGGTGCTTAGTCTATGTATCCGTTATTTACCTAGTGATTAACTCTACACCACACAGTTCTTCAGTGGGAAACAGTGTGCACATTCCTTCGTTCATCTTCAAACCTCCTGTTGGCTGAGAGTGACCCCACAGTAAAGAACTGGAAGAATCAGGCATCTCTCTCCCTCATCGACAACAATTGGATTGCTGGAATATGTCAGCATACCTATTTTGAAAGAGTTTAGCTCCAGCCTACAGATTCCATTGGGAAGACGTGAATGACATGCCAGTTGGTTTTCAGCTCTTGATAGAGTAGTGGCTGTCTGTCCTCTTGCCCTTCATGGCCAGCAGCCGTGTCCATGTTGCTGCAGCAGCTGGCACATAGCTGCTGGGAGCCTTTTATCCAGGTGTCAAGGATATGTGTTCTGGTGGTTGTTACTGATCTCATCTCTGCCAGCTAAAGTGACTACGTAAGAACTGGGAAGTTAGAAAGATTTGAAAGGCAACAGGAATGAGTCACCGGAATTGCAGATAGGACCACTGAAATTAAGTTTGGGGACCATGAAAAATATTACAGAAAATAGAGACTTAGGGATCTGTTGGGACACCAAATAAACCAATATATACTGGTGGCATTATCATCAGTCTTAGGTTTGTTTTCTGTTTTTTTTTTTTTTTTGTTTTTTTTTTTTTTGAGACAGGGACTCACTATATAGCCCTGGCTGACCTGGAATTCTCTGTGTAGACCACATTGGCCTCAAACTCATAGAGATCCACTTGCCTTTGCCTCCAGGTGCTGGGTCCCAATGGTGTGTGCCACCACTCCTGGCCATTGTGGGATTATGAAAAGGGGAAGAGGAGAGGCATTTGAGGAAATAGTGGCCTCACATTTGCTGGGTGGCATGAATATGAACAGACAAGGCGCTCAGCAGCACAAGGTGGGACAGGCTGGGACATCTACACCGGGACACAGGATAGTGAAAGGATTAAACCAGACTTCAGAGACTATTTGGAAAAGAGCAAGAAGAAAGCAACCCTGAGTACCTGGGATCCTAAATGAGACTATCAGCGATATCTCATTGTCCATCTCCGAGGGCAGGAAGCAGCGGGTTGGTAGTTTCTGCTTTGATCACAGTGCATAAAGATGAACCAACTAGTAAACCAACTAGATCTAACAGACATCCCAACGAAACTGGATATTGCCCTCTCAAGTGCATATGGACAGTTTTCAGCATCCATATGCATTACATTGCACCACAGATTACCAGTAATCTTAGAAAGGTATATGTCATACACCACAGTGAAATAAAACTATAAACCAGCAGCAGAAGGAAAACCAAAAAATCCTCACATACCTGGAAATTAAATAGTATATCCAAACCAATGTGTAAAAGAGGAAGTCAGAAACTTCTAGAGACAAGTGAAGACAAAAACACAAATTATATGGTGGAATCAATGTTGAGCAACAGTTTTAAGCATAGTGCTTAGATTTGAGAAGGAGATGAGGAGGCCAGGAGGTGGTGGTACACGCCTTTAGTCCCAGCACTCGGGAGGCAGAAGCAGGTGGATCTCTGTAAGTTGAGGCCAGCCTGGTCTACAAAGTGAGTTCCAGGACAGCCAGGGCTGTTACACAGACTAACCCTGTCTGGAAAAAAACAAACAAGCAAAAAAAGAGGAAGAGGAGGAGGAGGAGACAACTAGGGCCTTGAATGCAGCTCAGTTGACACAATGTTTTTCTAGCCTGCAGGTAGCCCTGGGTTGATCCTCAGCACCACGTAATCCAAGTATGGTGGCCCAAACCTGTAACTCCAGCCTGTGTGGGGATGCAGAGAGCTCAGAAGTTCAGAGTCGTTCTCAAGTACGTAGCAGATTTGAAGCCAGCTTAGGCTACATGAGAACCTGTCCTTAAAGAGAGACAGGGAAAAAGAAGAGTCTAGGGGAACAACGTAGAGAGAGCTAGAACACAAACTAAAGTATTAACCCAAAGGTAATAGATAACAAAAATAATAAATATTAGAGTAAAAGCAAATGAAATAGGGAAGCTGGATTTATTGGTGCATACCAATGTTTCCAGTACTTGGAGGGCTGAGGCAGGAGGTTTGCTTTAAATTTTAGGCCAGCCTGGGCTACATAGCAAGTCTAAAAACAACCCCCCCCCCAAAAAAAAGGAAAATTAATCAAACTTAAAGTTCTCCAGAAGGCATCAAAATTTATAACTATATTAAAATGTGAATTATTCAAATAAGAAATGGAAAATGAGGTAGAAATTAAAAGGATTATAAGAGTACTATAAACTGGACACCACCAAATGAAACAGACTTCGAAGAGTGGTTAGAGAAGCAATGGACATCCCGACTAAGACGTGACTCGGTCATTGAGCCCTGCTCACCAAGACGGGCCTGTGACCTGGTGCCTTCACCGGGAAATTCTACCAAACACTTAAAGAAGAGCTAATGCCAGCCCTCAAACTTTCCCCCAAATATGGAAAACTGGATGAATTATTCTTTGAAGTCAGTATTACTCTTGGTGCCCAAACCAGACAAGGACACTAAAAGAAAACTACAGATTTGTTACAGTGAGAAAAAGGAAGGGGGAAAAAAAACCTTCAAGAAAATGCTAACAGAATTGAAAAGCACATTAAAAGAATGATGTGTTCTAGGAAGGCTCGATTGTTGGGATGTAAAGATGATGGTTCAACATTTTAAAAAAAATCAGTGTTACACATCACATTGTTAGTTGAAGGAAAAGCCACATGATCTTCCTGCTGGATGCAGAAATGTACTTGACAAATTAAATATCTTTATATGAAAAAGACTTAAAGGAGAGGCCATATGAGAAAGTCTCACAGTGTGTGTATGCCAAGATGAAAGGCTAGATAGCCATAGCACAGGGACAGGAAAAAGATGCCCACTTTTGCCAGGCGGTGATGACACACACCTTTAATTCCAGTACTTGGGAGGCAGAGGCAGGCAGATCTCTGAGTTCAAGGCCACTCTGGCCTACAGAGCTAGTTTGGACAATCAGGGATACACAGAGAAATCCTGATTGAAAAAACAACAACAAAGGATATCCACTTTTGCACTTGCATCAACAGCATATCAGAAGTTCTAGCCAGTGAAAAAGAAACACAAAGCATTGATTTCAGAAGAAAACAGTAAAATTACCTCTTTAGAAATGGTGTAATCTTACATGTTGAAGATCCTATAGATTACATGCATGTACACACACTTGAACACACCTATTAGAACTAATTTATAGCAACAACACACAGAACCAGTTTGATATCTGTAGACTAACAGTGAGCAATTCTAAAAGAGAATTAGAAAACAACTCTATATGCATCAAAAGGAGTAAAATACTTAGAACTAGCCACGGATATGAAAACGACAGAACATCACTGAAAGAATTAAAGAAATAGGGCTTGGGGTGTGTCTCAGAGGTAGAGTACCAGCATTTATGAGAATCTGACTTCAATCTTCAGTACCACAAGAGTAAAAAAAGAAAAAGGAAATGAAAGAAGTCACAAATAAGTGGAAAGGTGCCATGTGCTACTGGATTGAAAAACTTCTGAAACCATCATTCAGGCTCAACGGAAACATCTATCACAAGCTCAGTGACTTTTGTTTTACAGAAATAGAGTTCACCCTAAAGTTCATGTGGGATCTGAGGGACTCTGAGTACCTGAAGCCATCATGAAAGAGAACAATGCTGAAGGACTTCTGTGGATGAAAGAGAACAAGGCGGAAGGACTTCAGCTGTGGATGAAAGAGAACAAGGCTGAAGGACTTCAGCTGTAGATTTCGTGAATTTCCAGAAAGTTATTCTAATCCCAGCTTCAGTCCTGGTATAGACAGACCGATGGACAGAAGAGAAGACATCAAAGTCAACCCTGGCACATGTTGTCAAATGGTTTTCAGCAAGAGTGCAAAAGCATCCAGTGTGGGAAAGACAAGGTCTGTCAGAAAAGAGAAGGTGAACACTTAGCTCGCACCATGTGCAAGGGAAGGGAGGGAGTCAGGACCCAGTATGAGAGCCCCGCTGTATACCTCTGAAAGGAAACAGGTGCATGGGATACTGGACTTGGTGATTTCTTGGAAATGGTATCAAAAGCACAGACAAAAGAAATAGAAATACTGGGCTTCATTAGAACTTTACATTTTTCATCAAAAGGAAAGAATCCTATTTGTAAGTTACGGAACTGAGAAGGAATGTCAAGAATATAGAGAAAACATATAACAAAAGATTCAGTGTGTTCAAATGGTATGTGTCAGCATTTCTGCAAAGAAAATGCAAATGTGACCAACATATTAGTGTTCTGTCACTGTGGTGCAATACCTGAAGTAATCGGCTTACAAATAAAAGCTTCATTCTGGCTCAGGGTTTGGAAGGTTCTAGTCTATGGTGGCTTTGGTCTTGTAGTAAGGCAGCAAATGGCTGTGGGAGTGAATGGGAGAGCAAAACCGCTTACATGGAGAACCAGGGACCAGAGAGAAGTGAAATGGGCCATGGTCTCAGTTCTCTTTGAGGGCATGTTCCCACTGACTCACTTCTTAAAGGTTCTGCTCCCTCCCAGTAGTGCCTTTCTGGGGTCAAGTCTGTAACCCACGATCCTTTAAAGGATACCTAGCATACACACTTGCCAGCCAGTGAGCACATAAAAAGTACATAAGCACATAAAAAGTAACCAGTATTGAGATACACATAAAGACTTTATTCCCATATCTATCATTATTATTTTTTAAAAGATTTATTTATTTATTATGTATACAGTGTTCTGCCTGCATGTATGCCTGCAGGCCAGAAGAGGGCATAGATCTCACTACTGATGGTAGTGAGCCACCATGTGGTTGCTGGGAATTGAACTCAGGTCCTCTGGAAGAGCAGCCAGTGCTCTTAACTGCTGAGCCACCTCTCCAGCCCTCCCCTGTGTCTGTTATTAATTGCCATTAGCCATGTTTTCCATGTGAGAAAGCCAAAGCATTGGTTTATGACAGAGATGGGCCTGAAACTCGGGGACTGCGGCTCAGATACCTCACCACCCCTCTGTGCCTCTCAGCTCGGGCTGAGTTGTGGCTTATTTAGGCTTTGGTGTTATGGAACTGCATGAATTTCAGATGCTTCAACATTAATGTCATGTGTTAGACTATTTGGTCTTTTAAATTTTTAAAACTTAGGAAGTCTGGGGACTGGAGGAGTGGCGCCATGGTGAGGAGAGTGCACTGCTCTTGCAGAGGACCTTTAGGGTGGCTTACACTGCTTGTAACTCTAGTCCCGGAGACCAGATGCCTTTTGTGTGCATCCTCTGTGTACACCTATATGTATGTACATACACATAGACATGCGTGCATCTACACAAATGAAAACTGAAAAACAAACCCAGTAACTCAGAAAGGCTCTTAGGCCTTACTTTTTTTTTTTTCCCCTGAGACAGGTTTGTCTGTGTAGCCCTGGCTGGCCTGGAACTTGCTCTGTAGACCTGACTGGCCTCAAATTCACAGAGATGAGACTGGGATTAAAGGCACGCACCACCACCACCACCCAGCTTGTTGTTGAATTTTTATGTGTTGACTTTTCTGCTAGATTTAAAATTCTCAGGACTTACAGTTTTACTTTTTGCATGAACAAAGTAGCCTACCAGAACTTTGAATCTCTAGGTTCATAAATGGTACTGACTAGGTAGATACAGGCGTTTACAGGTCTCAGATCATATGGCATCAGGGTGGCAGCCAGAGCAGATGCAGTCTTTCTCACTGCCTCTACTGGGGTACCCTCTCACTGCCCCTCACCCTGTGCCACATCAGGGCTGGCTTGGGGCCAAGCAGGACCATTCTGTGTTACAGGTGCACATGGCATTCAGAGATGTGGCTGTGGATTTCTCCCAGGAGGAGTGGAGCCTGCTGAGCCCTGCTCAGAGGTCCCTGTACAAAGAGGTGATGTTGGAGAACTACAGCAACCTGGTCTCTCTGGGTAAGCCGTGTGTCTCTCAGGACTGACGTTCTCAATTAGTGCATACATCCACAGAAGTTTAGGCTGCCGTGTGTCTCTCAGGACTGACGTTCTCAATTAGTGCACATATCCACAGAAGTTTAGGTAATACTTGCAGCAGCCATCTTACTTTTTGGCCTGTTTGACATGAGTAAAGACATTTTGTTCTCTGCTTTCCTAGGGAAGTCTGATTTTGTGGAGTTGAATGTCAGCCGGAGTGAATGTGTACTCTGCATCTCTAGGCTTTTCCCTCCAGTCGGGGGCTCTCTCTTTCCCTAAGTTAACTTCTTTTAAATAAGACAGGTGTGTCAGATTTTTCATTTTTGTGATAAACACCCATGAAAACAACTTAAAGGAATTATTTTTCTTGGTTTTTTTTTTTTTTTTTAATGCCAAATGCTGTTTATTGAAGGAGGGAAAAGGTCTTAAATACAGGCTTACAGCACAATGGGAGAACCCTGGAGGGCAGAAGTTCGCTACCAATGTTTTACAATCTTGCATCTAAGCTGTTAACGTCCATTATGCAGGATACAAAGACAAGGAACTTCCCTTAAGCATTTAGGAGGGTGGAACCCAGCAGGGAATTAGCATAGGGAGGATATCAAGGTCAAGGTCAGCAAGCAAGGCAACAGTTACCCAAAACAGGGGCCAGGACCCTACAGGTCCCCCTTTTACTAAAAAATGAGCTTCTGACTTAGGTTGCGTGGGAAGTCAGCAGGTCATCTTACCCATCATGGAGACACCTGCCCAGGCTACACAGGCGCTCTGTCTTAGGTTGGTGAGTGCCCCCCCCCCCCCCCAGGTATTACCTGTCTCTGAATACTCATTATCGTACAGGCTCAATGTGTGTGAGCTGCAGAGTTAACTGCTGCCAAAGATCTCAAAGTGGCGCTGGGCTTGCAATCTGTGTGTTCGACACAGAAAAGACCAGGCAGGGTCTCACTATATACCACCGACTGTCATAGAATTCACTACATACACTAGGTTGTCCTCAAATTTGTAGAGGTCCATCTGCCTCTGCCTCCCAAGTGTTGGGATTAAAGGCGTGTGTCACCATGCTCAGAAGGAGGACTTATGTATTTCAGCTCACAGTTTCAGTGTGTTGTGGTAGTGGGGCTTGATAGATCATAGCGGTATACTTCATGGCAACTAGGAAGCAAAGAGGAAGGAGGGTAAACCTGTATGTGTGGACTTTCCTCCATCTCTCTTCTATTCAAGGCCCAGCCTATGGGGTGATGCCACCCCCTCTCAAGGCAGGTCTTTCTTCCTAGTGAATCCTCTCTGGAACCCCTCATAGACAGTCGGAACGGTACGCTTTACTGATCTAGACATTTCTCTACCCAATCAGCTTGAGAGTCAATATTCACTTTACTAGTTTTATCTCCCAGCATGGAGTAGAATCAGTGTATCCCCCTCTGAGTTCACTGTCCCGATAATCTCCAGTAACTGTTAACCCTTGGCACTGCCCCCTGCAGCTCCCCCCTCAGTCTTTGCTTTTGAGTCTATTCCAAAGGCCAAGTCAGAATTCCTTCTACACCCTAACCTACAGCCATCCTGTTTTCTTTTCTGGTGAGCAGGAATTCCATTTTCAAAACCAAAACTCATCACCCAGCTAGAGCAAGGGAAAGAGACATGGCAAGAGGAGAGAACATGTCCACAGGTAGCCTGCCAAGGTGAGTGGGAAAGGCCTGGGCATATGGGGCACAGGGCTGGTAGCAGCCCAGGATGCTGAAGAGAAGAGGCAGAGATGAGGAACTGAGTATTTGACCCATAGGGCCACCCTGTCTTCATGCAGGAGCATTCCTGGGGTCTCTTGTCTCTCTTTCCTTGAAGCCTTTTGGCCTCCTGCCTCTACTTTCTGAGTACTGGGATTAAAGTCATGCACCACCATGCCTGACTGAGTTTTTGAAATTTAAACTTATATCAGTATTGATTAAATCTGTGTAAACTATAAATACAGGAGCACCTGTAGACTTCAGATACTTTATAAACTAATTCGTTGAACTGATCATATTTTGTGTTCCGTTTGTCCTGAGACTAAATAGTCCAGAGTGTACACATAACAGCAGATTCACAGTCAGTGGAAAAGATCATCCGGTGGAAAATTGAAATTTGTCTTCCTGTCACTCCATATAGATGTTAAAACAATGTTGAACTTTCTTTGAAGGGGCCAGTTTAATTCTGAGTTGTGTTGACTGCAAATAAAAGCCAGCCACTTTGTGTGTACCCACAGAAGTTAGAAGACCATAAATAGGGCCATAAATAGAAACCCAGACTCAGCTATGATATGAGTTGCACAACACCTTAGATTACACAAACCAAAGCTGGTAAAAGGGGCCAGGCTTCGGATACACCCAAGAAACAGGCCTGAGGCACTGCTGGCTGCCTAGGCAGGTGTTCCATAGAAGTGGGGCTGGGGAGGGATGGGTATCAGGTTGGATCAGTGGCTCCCAGACTGTCAATCACACCTGTAGTGACAACCAGTGGAGCCGCTGATGGGAAAGAATTGTACCCAGGTGCTGGAGAGATGACGCAGCAGTTAGGAGTTGTCCTTGCTAAGGACCCAGGTCAGTTCTCAGCACCCACATGGTGGCTCACAATCACTGAACTCCACAGGCACCAGGCACACACGTGGTGCACATACATACATATATGCAGACAAAGCATTCAGACACATAAAAAATTTCACTAAAAAAGAATTGTACCTAGTTACTTATGAAACACTGAAAGATAAAAGGGAAGATATTTCTTTAGTAGTCTGCTGTGTAGAAAGAGTAAAAGACTTTCATGCTAGGAAAGGGTGGTTACTTTAATAATTAAGACAGTTGTTCCGATTGTGCTAATTCATTTATGACTGAAAACTGCATTTGGTATAGAATAGAGTAATTCTGATAACTGTGATTGTGCATTGGCTCAGGAAAAGAGTGTCTAGGCAGATTCGGTAAGATCTGTACTAACTGCTCAAATTGGCTGGTCATTGAGTGCCTTCAGCTGACCAGAACCAGCACCGATCACACAGTACAACAAGAGGTATAGCGTAGAGAAATGTTTTCTGGGTTTTGTTTTGGTTTCTTTTCAACTTCAGTGGTCATTTGATGTTCGTTGCTGAGTCTTCTCAGGACCTAGCCCTTCTTTGTCACAAACTGTCTCTGCTGTTAGACCTGTGTCCAGGGTTGTCTTTGGTTCTGTTGACACCTAGGCAGTGTGTCCTGTAGTTTTGGTTTTGTAAACATGCTCTTGCTATGTGGTCCAGCTGGCCTTAAACTCGATGTGGATATCAGGCCTCAAACTCCTGATCCTCCTGCCTCAGCCTCCCAGTCTTTCCTCTCCCCCTCAGTATCCCCTTGTGTTTTCTGCCTGCCTGCTTGCCTCTCTCTCTCTCTCTCTCTCTCTCTCTCTCTCTCTCTCTCTCTCTCTCTCTCTCTCTCTGTTTCTAGGGATCAACCCAAGGCTTGTGAGAGCTAGGCAAGCACTCTATCACTCAGCTATATTTCTTTCTCTTTTTAAAAAAATAACTTATTTATTTTATTTCATGTGCATTGGTGTTTTGCCTGCCTGCATGTCTCTGTGAGAGTGTCAGGTCCCTTGGAACTGGAGCTACAGACAGTTGTGAGCTGTCATGTGGGTGCTGGAAATTGAACTCGGGTCCTCTGGAAGAGCAGTCAGTGCTCTTAACCGCCGAGCCATCTCTCTAGCTCCATTCAGCTCTATTTCTAACCCCCATGTTTATTGTTTGAACTGATTCTTGGAGTCATTTTTATTTAAACTAATTCTGGAAATTAGCAGGACTTAGAGGTTAGTAAAGGGCATCTTTTACAGTACTGGGGACCTAGGCTATGGTTGTGCTGTTCCCTGCCGAGGGATTACTGCCTTGTAGAAATTCTCACAAAGTAGTCCACTGATAAGGTGTTTGTCAAGTGGGGACACCCTAGTTCAAGTGTGTCATGCACTTTCTGTTGAACCATTCTTTCTCTTTTTTAAAACACTTGTTGGTTGGAGCGGGGCATTCACATGCTGTGGTGCACATACAGAGGCCAGAGGACAACTCGTGGTACTAAGTTCTCTCCTAACGTGTGCAGATTTGGTGGCAAGCACCTTGACCCACTAACACCATCTGGGCTACCCACTCTTCTCCTGTGCTGTCTTGCACTAAAGTTGGAATGATGCTTTCTCAGCCTGCCTACTTCATCCTCCAGAACATCAGGAGATGTTTCCACATGGGTTTTGTTAATAGCTCTGTCAAAAGCACAGCTGCACAGTACACAGTGGACGTAGTTTCTGTCTTGGCGTGGTTGTGAGTCCAAGGTAATTGTAGTAGTAACTGTGTGGAGCCTTGTGTATTGGCCTGATTCACATATCTGTTAATTGTGGTGCTTTTTGTGGCCTCACGTCTATAGTGCTTATCCAGATGGAGTAGGAGGTGTGAGATATGGTGATGGGCTAGGGAGGAAGTCATGTAGAGGAGGTCTTGGGGGGTGGCACTCAAGGACAAGGTGCAGTCACCATTAGGTTGGGTAGGGTTATTTGGGCTGTCCCTGCAAGGACTCCATTCTGACTCATTCTTGTCTCTGCAGCACAGGCCAAGCGGGAACTCTGCCCTGGTCCTGTCTGCCCTCCAGATCTCACCAATCAGAAACTCCCTGTGCAGCATGTGCTGAGTGATCGCGCCCCGTGGATCTTCACACGCCTATGTGCAACAAGTCACGTTGACCCAGGGGACTTCTGTCATGGGGCCCAGGAGAAGCAGCAGGGAGTCTCTGATAAGAGCTCCTGCAGAGAGAAATCAGAAGGTGGAGAGAGAGAGGGTGTCAGGCCTCTATCTAGGACAAAGAAAAGGAGTTTGGGAGCCCTCTGCAGGCCACCCCAAAGGCAGCCAGTCAGCTCTCGGAATGGCATCAGATGGGTAGGGGTGGAGGCCAGTTCAGCTCAAGCTGGGAGCACTGAAGAACCCGAGAAGTTGCTGAAGCGGATAGAAGTCTTGGGATTTGGAACGGTCAACTGTGGAGAGTGTGGGCTGGGCTTCCGCAAGATGACGAACCTGCTTAGTCACCAGAGGGTCCATTCAGGAGAGAAGCCATATGTGTGTGGGGTGTGTGAGAAGGGCTTCAGTCTAAAGAAGAGCCTTGCCAGACACCAGAAGGCACACTCTGGGGAAAAACCCGTTGTGTGCAGGGAGTGTGGGCGAGGTTTTAACCGGAAGTCAACACTCATCATTCATGAGAGGACACACTCGGGGGAGAAGCCTTACATGTGCGGTGAGTGTGGACGAGGCTTTAGCCAGAAGTCAAACCTCATCATCCATCAGAGGACACATTCAGGGGAGAAGCCGTATGTGTGCAGGGAGTGTGGCAAAGGCTTTAGCCAGAAATCAGCTGTTGTGAGACACCAGAGGACACACTTGGAGGAGAAGACCGTTGTGTGCAGTGACTGCGGCCTTGGCTTCAGCGACAGGTCAAACCTCATCTCCCACCAACGGACGCACTCAGGGGAAAAGCCTTATGCCTGCAAGGAGTGTGGGCGGTGCTTCAGGCAGAGGACCACCCTTGTCAATCACCAGAGGATTCACTCAAAGGAGAAGCCTTATGTGTGTGGTGTCTGTGGGCACAGCTTTAGCCAGAATTCCACTCTCATTTCTCACAGGAGGACGCACACTGGGGAGAAGCCATACGTATGTGGGGTGTGTGGACGGGGCTTTAGTTTGAAGTCGCACCTCAACAGACACCAGAACATCCACTCAGGGGAGAAGCCTATTGTGTGCAAGGATTGTGGTCGAGGCTTCAGCCAGCAGTCAAATCTCATCAGGCACCAGAGGACGCACTCTGGGGAGAAGCCCGTGGTGTGTGAGGAATGTGGACGAGGCTTCAGCCAGAAGTCCAACCTCGCTGCACACCAGAGGATGCACTCAGGAGAAAAGCCGTACGTGTGCCGAGACTGTGGGCGAGGCTTCAGTCACCAGGCTGGGCTCATCCGACACAAGAGGAAGCATTCAAGGGAGAAGCCGTACGTGTGCAGGCAGTGCGGACTGGGTTTTACCAACAAGTCAGCTCTCATCACACATAAGCGGGCACACTTCGAAGAGCAGCTTTGTGTGCGCAGAGAGTGTGGTCAAAGCCTTGTCCAGAAGTCACACCTCACCTTCCATCAGATGGCACACAAGAGGGAGGAGACTTACACATGCAGGACCTGTGGGCAAGGCTTTAGGCAAAGGTCTCACCTTAGCAGACACAGGAAGATGAAATGTGCCCACCACAAACTGCCCCTGCAGCCTGACTCTGAAGCCTATTTGGGGCAGTTGTCTGACCCCTTCTGTTCCCTTTGAAAATGAAGGTTTTCAAAGAAAGGCTTCATTGTCCAAACTCTTACACTTCCATGAAGTAGGAAAATGGACTTCCTAAGACCTATGGACAGTAACTCAGCCTACTTCCTTTCCAGTCTCATGTTGTGTGGCCTTTTGTCTAGTAAACTTGGCTTCTTCACAAATTTGCAACCTGATCTGTGATTCTCATTCTCTTGGGAAGTGGACCATTCAGGTATCGTGAACTCACTGTTCACAAAAATCCATTGCCTGGATGACAAGGGCACACCTGCAAGGCTCTGAAGGCCACACCAGGTGGTTTCAGGGAACATCAAGGCAGTCATTCCACAACATTTTGATACTTCAATCCACTTTGTGGATGTGGTTTTATCTAATGGAATGCAATTCCATTAAAAGTATTGGAAACCCAATAGAAATACCTACTAAGAAATGTGATTTTCTTTTTCATCCAAATTCACTCCAAAATTTGTTTTTATACCTAAATGTACATACCCGATTTTTATAAGATGGCCCAGAAATGCAGTTAGGTTTTTCTTTTTGATTTTATGTAGTTAGGTGGTTTGCCTGCACTTATCACATGCATGCTCGAGCCTCTGGAGGCCAGAACTGATGTTCTAAAGCAACATCAGATGCCTTAGAACTGGAGTTACAGATGGTTGTGCACCACCATGTGGGTGCTGGGAATTGAACCTGGTTCTCTGCAAGAGCAGCCATTGCACTTTGCCTCCAAGCTATCACCTCAGTCCCCAAGCGGTTTTTCATCCAAATTTGCATACTAGGATTATCTAGATAAAATAGCTTACTATATTTTCCTTTCAAAATGCTCCTGAAACCAGGACTTTTCATCCAAATTCATTAGTTCTTGTAGTCTTTAGGAAATAATTATGCCAGATTTAAAGAAAATGACTCAGGTATATGATTTTTTTCCTTAGGTTTTTCAAGTGTTCATAAATTATGTGCTACATTATTTACAAACTACCAAGAAATAAATGGTTCATATCCTTCCACTCAAGTGTAGAGTTTGGGGGACACAAGTGTGTTGTCAGGTTTCCCTCTGGGTGATAAAGAAACAAATTAAAAACCAAATTTATGTAAATAGTGTGGACTTGGGGGAGGGAAAAACCATATTTCTTCCCAGATTTCCTAGAAATGTGGTATTTTCATTTACATCTGCTCAAGTGTGGAGGTTTATAGAAACTAAATCTTCTAAGATATGCAGAAAATGTAACTTCTTACCAAATTCACTGAAATCGTGGAGGGTTTTTTTTGTTGTTGTTACATATCCTTTGCAAGAGTTTTCTTCTAAATGGCATTGAAGTATGATTTTCTAGTCAAACTGGCTCAAATAGAGAAGTTTTGAGAAATAATTCTTATGCCAGAATTTTCTTCCAGTGTAGCTTAAAGACTTTATATTTCATCCAAACTTCTTGACTTGATGGGTACTGGGGTGGGGTGGGGGAAATAAGCCTTGTTACACACAAGTAGTAAGAAAACACTTGTTAAATTTTGTAACTTCCTAACTTTTAGACATGAGATCTGTGCTATATTTCTCCACAATGGTTCCTAAATATGATTTTTAAGTAATCAAATTCAGGGCTGGGCAGTGTTGGCACACGCCTTTAATCCTAGCACTCAGGAGGCAGAGCCAGGAGGATCTCTGTGAGTTCGAGGCCAGCCTGGTCTACAGAGTGAGATCCAGGACAGGCTCCAAAACTACACAGAGAAACCCTGTCTGAAAAACAAAACAAAACAAAACAAAACAACAACAACAACAAAATCAAATTCAGAGCAGTGTGCATGTTTGTTTTGTTTTTTCCATATCGGCCCTTTGCTAGGTTTCCTAGTGGTGAGTTTTTTTGTTCAAAGCATTTTGGGGTGGGGGTCCAAAGTGATGAAAAAAGATAACCTTTTATCCGAACTTGCCTGAAGTGAAACTTTGGACACAGGTGCATGCCATGTCCCCATGAATGATGTAAGTTTATGTCCAAATTTGCATAACATTAGGTTGAGGCAGTCAACGTGAGTTATTTACCACAATTTTATCTCAAACAGCATGCAAATGCAACTTTTTAATTTTTATTTTTAGTTTGGTTTTTTTTTTTGGTTTTTCGAGACAAGGTTTCTCTGTGTAGCTTTGCACCTTTCCTGGATCTCGCTCTGTAGACCAGGCTGGCCTCGAACTCACAAAGATCCGCCTGCCTCTGCCTCCCAAGTGCTGGGATTAAAGGCGTGTGCCACCACCGCCCGGCTAGTTTGGTTTTGTAAGACAAGGTTTCTTTATATAGCCCCAGCAGTCCTGGAACTAGCTTTGTAGACCAGGCTGATGTTGAACTCACAGAGATCTATCTGCCTGCCTCTGCCTTCTGAGTGCTGGGATTAAAGGTATACACCACCACTGCCTGGCACAAATGCATCTTTTTAGGATCCATATTCATTCAGATTGTGGTTTTCTTTATGTTTTTTTTTTTTTTTTTTTTTTTTTTTTACCTAATTCCTACAGCAGTTTCTTTGTCCCAGACTAGCCATAAACATGATTATTCACTCACATTGGCTTGGGCTATGGATTATTTTGGATATAATTCTGTGCCAGATCTTCAAAAATGGCCCTGAACTAGGGTTTTTAAAAACCCAAATTGAGCAAGGTGTGGTGGCACACACCTTTAATCCCAGCGCTGGAGAGGCAGAGGCCAAAAAAACAACTGGAGATGTTCAGTGAAGAGATCTGTGTCATGGAATAAGATGAAAGAATGATACACAGATCAGGATACCTGATGTATCCTCCTCTGGCTTCTGCATAGCCACACCTACATACACTACACGCACCCCTCAGATACTCATGCTTAGGCAGCAAGCGCTCTTACCCACTGAGTCATTCCCTGGCACCAACCCCATTTCACAACTTTGAAATATGAAATATGAAATATGAGAAACATGGGAAGCAACTATTAGCCTTTTTCAGACATTTGACCAAGGCTTGTCCATGATGCAAACAAGTCTCGTGTCTCAGTGCCATTTGTCCAGGTCTCATTTTAAAAACATCTTTGGGGTTGGGGATTTAGCTCAGTGGTAGAGCACCTGCCTAGCAAGCGCAAGGCCCTGGATTCGGTCCTCAGCTCCAGGAAAAAAACAATCTTTGAAAGGCTAATGATGTAGCTCAGTAGTAGAGCACTTGCTTCCCACAAGAAGGGCCCTGATTTGATCCCTAGTACCACTAAGTTGATACATTAATATTTTTGTGATCTGAATATTTGTGTTGTAACTTAACCCTTCATATAGTAGTGTTCAACTTCGATTCAAAGGAAGGAAGTGATGGTCAAAGTCACAGGCAGTACAAGGCTGAAATACCAAAGGTACATGAAGCTGGCTGTCATTTTAAGTTGGGTATCCTAGAGAGACCTCACAGTCCACTAGACAGACAAACACAGGTTGACTGGTATTTGCTTAGTTCCCTCTTTCTCTTCCAAGGTCACAGCAAATCCTCACATGCTGAGATCACATCTTATTTTATTCTTTATTTTTAGGCATGTACTAAAAATAAAGATTGTTTTTATTTCCTTGATTTTAAGGAATTCAAGGAAGGAAGAACATAGAAGCAGGTGGTATAATCTTTTTTTTTTCTGTATAATCCTTTTTTGAAACAGCAAGTAGCATTATTTCTTGGTAGATTATGATGGTTAGTTTTAACTGTTAACCTGGGAAGAGTCTTAGTGAGGCTCTGTCTACATCAGGTTGGACTGTAGGCATGCGTTGGTGGGGAATTGTCTAGATTATGCTAATTTGAGGTGGAAAGACAAATCCACTGTGGGTGGCACTATTCCCTAAGCAGGGATCCTGGACTACAGAAGAGTGGACAAAGTGAGCTGAGCACTAGCATGCAGGCATCCACTGCTCTTTGTTCCTGATTACGGGTGGCCATGACCCATTCCCTCAAGCTCTTGCCACATATGAGCTAAATTGGCTTTGTCAGGATATTTTATCGCAGCAACCAGAAACCAAAACACATACCAATCAAAATCAGACTATTAGGGTTGGAGAAGTGGTTCAGTGGTTAAGAGAGCTTGCTCTGCAATCAGGAAGAATGGAGTTCTGATTGCAGCATTCGTTTAACAAGCCAGGAGTTTCCCACAAACATCTGTAACCCCAGCTGAGGCTCAAGTTTGCTTGCTTCCAGCTTAGCTGAGACATGAGCCCTGAAGTCAAGAGAAGGCCCTGTTTCAGAGGAAGAGGCAGAGCGATGGAGGACACCTGGTGCCCTCTTCTGGTCTTTGTGAGCATACACAGGAACGTGAACTACCCCACACACCTACATGCACTCAGATACCACACACACACACACACACACACACACACACACACACACACACACGAATCTTTTTTTAAAATCATAACATTTTATAAGGAAATAGATATTATCTAAAAAAACTAGTTATTTAAAATAGTCCATGCACAGAAACCTTGAAAAAATTGACACTCTAAGAATGTGATAGTTCAGGAATTTTTCCTTTATTTAGATTTTCTGTTGCTTTAATTTCTTGTAACACACATGAAATGTTTCATGGAATAGTTACTTGTCTGCACAGGATAGGCAGGGAATCACTCTTCTGAGTCCTGAATGTCCATCTTTACTGTACACATGTCTAGGAGGCAAAACCCGCACCAGCATTTCTAATCTCACAGCACATAAACCCATATAACCAAGGTATCAGCTCGTTCTAGAAATTTGCTGATATACATATTTGCATTTTGAGCACAACCTCATATCAGAAAATAAGTGTTTTCCAAACTTAATAGCCAAGATATCTATTTTGCAAAGCTGTCCTTTAGGCTCATTGACCATTCAAAAAACCATAAAGTGAATTTTCACAACTGTTTCCTAAGAACCCACCTGTGCCAGGAGCTCTAATTAAACATGAGACTTACAGTCTCAGGCATGGACGTTGGGTGTGTAGGCATGCAGGTACAACACTGTGCTGGTCAGCTTTTTATTACTATAACACATAACCGAGACAATCAACTTATAAACGAAAAGGTTTGTGTTGGCTCACAGTTTTGAACTTTTGAGTTCACGATCATTTGGTTCCATGCCATTGGGCACATGGCAAGACAATACATCATACCAAGACAAAATCATTCACTGCATCACCAGGAAGCAAAAGAGAATGTGATCCTGCAAGCCCCTTCAAAGACCTGCCTTCAACCACTGAAAGACACCTCACTAACCCACACTTCTTACAGGTTTATCTTGGGGACTCCCCTATTCTCACCCATTCTCTTAGGTGTACTTCAAGACTTGTTCAACTCTGTGGTCAAACCACTTTGAAAAGACACATCCAGGACTTTGGCCATCAGGAACATAACACAGAAACAACCCATATGGTCATGTCACTGAAGAAGCTTCCTGAAGGGAAACAGACTACTTATACGGACACGTCACAGGATAAGACACAACCAAACATCCTCTTTCAACATGCTAACCTTGAGGATATGCAAGGGATCACCAACTCTGCTGTCTGTCATGCAGATGACCCAGGTAGGCAGGAAGGTGCAGCCTCATTCCCAACAGGGTACCAATGGTACATGGCAGATGAGCTGGCCTAAGTGCTGCCTACACTTTAAAAAGATTTGCATTCAATGGATCTAGAGCACAGGGAAGGCTTGTGGTCACTGCTATTGATCTATGTACAAAAGCTGGACTGCCGAGACAGTTTTCAGACTCTCAGACTTGAAAATTCATTTTTGTGGATATTATTTTGGCCCATCACTTTGGGTAACCTGAATCTAATTCAAACCTACAGACTGCATACTGCCAACCAAGAAAACCTACAGCTCCTCCTGGGTTCTTACAATAGATACAGAGACCTGGAGATGGCAAGATCCAGACTGGGGCAAATAGGAACAGATTAAAAACAATGAAGTGCTTTACTTTAGTGGTTGCAGGAGACAATTCACCTGCTGTTAGTGAGTGCCAACTTTGCTAAAGATGGAGGACTCTGGGAGTGGTCAAGGGCATCAGCCCCTGAAGCTTGCTGAGGCCTTCAGGGACTTTTTGTAGGGAAAGGGCTGCATTCTGTCTTCCAGCAGGAGCCAGCTCACTGCACCATGAATTTACATGACATCAGACAGTGTAGGCTGTGGAGAATGTCCTATCAGTTGGCCTGTCCCCACCAATCAGTGAAGAACTCGAGACTCCTCTGAGTGCACTAATGCCCTAGACAGACACCAGTCGGGGGGAGTTTCCTGCTGGACAGAGGCTCCTCTCTTGAACTATGCAAGTCCATCCTTCAGATGACCACTCCACAAGAGAACATTCCATCCCATCAACTGGCCTCCACTATCTTCCACTCATGCATGGCTACCGAACCTCTCTCTGCTAGACTGGACTTACCATTCTCTGCCCACATACCCTCTTTTGTATGTACCAAGAATCATATCCATGCCATTACCATAACATCCCAACACCTTCAGCGGGCCTAATTTCTCTGTCTTCTCTTGCCACTCTCTGCCCATGCTCCCCCAATGCTGTATCCAAGTTATGCCAACTCCATGAGTGTGCCAGCATGTGTGTCTGAGTGGGAAGAGTTCCCTGGTGTTTAGACATGCTTTCTTACAGCACCTCTGCAAAAGATCAGGGACTTTAAACCACCCCTGTGTGTTTTCAAGGGACATATGCAGAACAGATATCTAGGCAGAGCATTTTGGTTTCAAGTTGGTCAACAGGATTTGTAGAGTGACTGCTGGCAAAAGTAGCTCTGAGGACTGAGTAACTATGTGGGATCATAATTACTATTGGGACACAGATTGTGACCAACTGTGTCACCTGTTATACAGAGAGGCAGGCAAAGATGGCAGCCACCCTCTCTGTCCAAGCAGACTCATATACTATCCTTAAATAAAAAGGAGAGCTAGAGCTGCTGGAGGCCCACACACAATGCTCCGATACAATGTAAAGTTTCCTCCAAAGGAGGGGCAGAGTGCTACTCTTTTTGCCCAGGAAGGTAGAAAACCAAACACCTGTAAGACTGCAGTCACAGAAGCATCTGATGCCACTTCCCAGATGCCCACATATCTGTAGGAAGTGCCCCAGGTCTCTTACAGACAGTGGCTCTCTTTCCCTGATGGATGTCCTGAACATCACATCAAGGGTGAGGACATGAGTTGAGGGAAGAGGAACAGCCATTAACACAATGTCATGCTGAGTAAGTGTAGTCTTGCTTTCAGCAGACTTAGCAGAATCTAAGATATATTGATATGGAACCCATTCCTAGTAGCATACTTCTGTGAAGTCCCCTTTGGAGGAAGGAAAGAGCCATCTGTAAAGCTTGCATCCAAGTACAATTGTTTTCAGGCACCTCTCTGCTGTGGGTGAGGGGTCACCAGCATGCAGGGAGAACTGCGGGGTGGAGGGAGAAGAGCCTGAATGGACTGAGTCCAGCCTGAGGGAGTATAAGACAGGGTCATCTAGTTCTGAATCCTGGGAAGAGGCCTTTCAGATACACTGTGTTTTCTGCTAAGATAAGGACAGTCATTCCACTATGAGTTCTTATAAACTATTTGATTAAGCTGTATATATATATATATACGTCCAATAAAAGCAGGGGAGGATATATACGTGCTATACTCCTTGTGTACACATACACATGTGATTATATAATGTTGTATCACCCTACAGAGACATGGCTGACTCTAAGCGTGAAGCAGTGGCTGAAGAATCTGGATGAGAAGAGCTTTATTATGTAGAACTTTATACTTTCTGACTTTGAACTACATGTAACTACTATCTATTGAAAAATTAGTAACTGGGTTGGGAGCACACTTCAGTTGGTAGAGTATTTGGTTAGCATGCATGAAGCCCTGGGTTCAATCCCCTGTACCACATAAAATCTAATGTAGTGGTACAAGTCTGTGATCCCAGTACACAGGAGGTGGAGGGAGCAGGATCAGAAGTTCAAGGTCATACTCAACTACATAGCAAGTTCAAGGACAGGACACATGAGACCCTGTCTCAAAAACAACAATAAAGAAGAAAAACAAAAATTAAAAACCAAACTTCAAAATTATCAATAAAACATCAAAAAGTGTCTGGACATAGTGGCACATGCCTTTAATCTCAGCATTTGGGAAACAGAGACAGCTCTCTGTGAGTTCAAGGACAGCCTGGTCTACATAGCAAATTCTAGTCTGGCCATGGCTGTATAGTGAGAACCTGTCTCAAAAAACAAAAAACAACAACAAAACAGAAAATAAAACATTAAAAAGCATATGTTAATTTTACCATACTCCAAGGGATATGTGGTATTGGGTAGTTATACCACTTTAAATAAAAAAAAAATAAAAAAGGAAAGAAAAAAAGCTGGGTCTGCTGGTCCCAGCCTGTATGTACTCTCAGCTACTTGGGAGGCTGAGGTGGGAAGATCCCAAGTTATTCAAGGCCTTTCTATGCTACAGAGTGAGTTCAAGGCCAGTCTGAGCAACTTCATGAGTTCAAAATAAAGAAGGCTAGGAATATAACACAGTGGTACAACACTTGCCTAGCCTTGCCTGGGTTAAATCCCTTCTACCATGGTACATACATGCACACGCGTGCACGCACGCGCGCTCACACACACACACACACACGCACACACACACGCGCTCACACACACACGCACACACACACGCGCGCACACACACACACACACACACATACACACTCACAAATCTTATGAGTTCCTTTCAACCCTAATTCTTACATTTAAACACACATTCCAAAAGTAAGACCAGCTATAGCTGGGTGGTCTGTCTGCAGCCTTGTGAATACCTCAGATCTAATTGTCCCCTAGGGTGGGGTTCCCAGATGGGGAAAGTTGGTCTTCCAGACCTTGGCTGAATTTAGCGGCCAAGAGCGAAATGGTGGGGTCATCTCCAATCTCAAGAGCGATGTCATATGCTGTCTGGCCTCTTGTGTTCTTCTTTTGGATGTTTGCATTGCACCTGCGAAGGAAGTGGAGAAACAGTCACTCAAGGCCCTCAGGCATATGACTCTCAGAGCTTGACTATTCCTTGCCACAGAGGCCAGTGTAGGTACATCCTGGTCCTACCTCCCCAAACATGTCCCCAAAAGACCACTATGGCTTCAGCTCTTAGAGTGACTCTACCTCTTAAGGGACCATGTGATTTCAAATATTCAATTGCCTGTCCTGGTCATTGGTTCCAACTGTATCAAAGACCTATAACCATGTTCAATGAGGGTAACGCTCATTGTGTGATAGTGGCCTTCCCTGACACTATGGGTAACAGTTCAGAAGGTAGGGCCTGTCTAACACCACTGAATGTCAGTAGAGATGTCACTGGGATCCTCAGTGGTGTAAGCCTTTGAACATACCCCAGTAAAATGGCGATGCTCTCCCTTCCTTCCAGGCCAAGTAGAGATGCTTCATGAAGAGCTGTATTTCTGAACCTATTTGTGGGGGGAAAAATTCTGGGTAAATCTTTAGTGTTATCAGGAAAATGGAAAGGGACTAAACTCGGGTCCTCAGGTTTGGAGACAGGGGCCTTTACCTGCTGGATCATCTTGCTGGCCCTAACTCTGGTTTGCTAAGGAACAACTTGCCAAGCTTCTCTGTGCAGGAAAGCCAGGGGTCTGAATGGCTGATGTCTAAGAGTGGAAGAATGGAGGGAACGTGACATGGTTCCTTGGAGGCACGGAGCCCAGCTGCAGGGCAGAGGCCATGTTGAAAGGGTTACGCTTTTTAGATGAACATATTTGAGCTAGATTTAGTAGCATCTGGCTCTCTGGGGGCAAGTCTGCTTCCCTTTCCTGGAAACTACTAGAAAGGTGGCCTCCAGCCTGGCTTTCTTCCCCAAGTCTTCCACCTATGTAAGTTAAACACTGCTCAGGGCAACCTTGATAATAGAGTGGAGTGGCACTGTCACACCATTCAGATGGACAGGCATAACCACAATGTTGGGATTCGGTGGATCTGCAGTGGCATGTGACACCATTCAGATGGACAGGCATAACCAAATGCTGGGATTCGGTGGACCTGCAGTGGCATGTTACACCATTCAGATGGACAGGCATAACCACAATGCTGGGATTCGGTGGACCTGCAGTGGCATGTGACACCATTCAGATGGACAGGCATAACCACAATGCTGGGATTCGGTGGACCTGCAGTGGCATGTGACACCATTCAGATGGACAGGCATAACCACAATGCTGGGATTCGGTGGACCTGCAGTGGCATGTGACACCATTCAGATGGACAGGCATAACCACAATGCTGGGATTCGGTGGACCTGCAGTGGCATGTCACACCATTCAGATGGACAGGCATAACCACAATGCTGGGATTCGGTGGACCTGCAGTGGCATGTGACACCATTCAGATGGACAGGCATAACCACAATGCTGGGATTCGGTGGACCTGCAGTGGCATGTCACACCATTCAGATGGACAGGCATAACCACAATGCTGGGATTCGGTGGACCTGCAGTGGCATGTCACACCATTCAGATGGACAGGCATAACCACAATGCTGGGATTCGGTGGATCTGCAGTGGCATGTTACACCATTCAGATGGACAGGCATAACCACAATGCTGGGATTCGGTGGACCTGCAGTGGCATGTTACACCATTCAGATGGACAGGCATAACCACAATGCTGGGATTCGGTGGACCTGCAGTGGCATGTCACACCATTCAGATGGACAGGCATAACCACAATGCTGGGATTCGGTGGATCTGCAGTGGCATGTTACACCATTCAGATGGACAGGCATAACCACAATGCTGGGATTCGGTGGACCTGCAGTGGCATGTTACACCATTCAGATGGACAGGCATAACCACAATGCTGGGATTCGGTGGACCTGCAGTGGCATGTTACACCATTCAGATGGACAGGCATAACCACAATGCTGGGATTCGGTGGACCTGCAGTGGCATGTCACACCATTCAGATGGACAGGCATAACCAAATGCTGGGATTCGGTGGACCTGCAGTGGCATGTCACACCATTCAGATGGACAGGCATAACCAAATGCTGGGATTCGGTGGACCTGCAGTGGCATGTTACACCATTCAGATGGACAGGCATAACCACAATGCTGGGATTCGGTGGACCTGCAGTGGCATGTCACACCATTCAGATGGACAGGCATAACCACAATGCTGGGATTCGGTGGACCTGCAGTGGCATGTTACACCATTCAGATGGACAGGCATAACCAAATGCTGGGATTCGGTGGACCTGCAGTGGCATGTTACACCATTCAGATGGACAGGCATAACCACAATGCTGGGATTCGGTGGACCTGCAGTGGCATGTTACACCATTCAGATGGACAGGCATAACCACAATGCTGGGATTCGGTGGACCTGCAGTGGCATGTTACACCATTCAGATGGACAGGCATAACCACAATGCTGGGATTCGGTGGATCTGCAGTGGCATGTTACACCATTCAGATGGACAGGCATAACCACAATGCTGGGATTCGGTGGACCTGCAGTGGCATGTTACACCATTCAGATGGACAGGCATAACCACAATGCTGGGATTCGGTGGACCTGCAGTGGCATGTGACACCATTCAGATGGACAGGCATAACCACAATGCTGGGATTCGGTGGACCTGCAGTGGCATGTGACACCATTCAGATGGACAGGCATAACCACAATGCTGGGATTCGGTGGACCTGCAGTGGCATGTTACACCATTCAGATGGACAGGCATAACCACAATGCTGGGATTCGGTGGATCTGCAGTGGCATGTTACACCATTCAGATGGACAGGCATAACCACAATGCTGGGATTCGGTGGATCTGCAGTGGCATGTTACACCATTCAGATGGACAGGCATAACCACAATGCTGGGATTCAGTGGACCTGCAGTGGCATGTTACACCATTCAGATGGACAGGCATAACCACAATGCTGGGATTCAGTGGACCTGCAGTGGCATGTGACACCATTCAGATGGACAGGCATAACCACAATGCTGGGATTCGGTGGACCTGCAGTGGCATGTGACACCATTCAGATGGACAGGCATAACCACAATGCTGGGATTCGGTGGACCTGCAGTGGCATGTGACACCATTCAGATGGACAGGCATAACCACAATGCTGGGATTCGGTGGACCTGCAGTGGCATGTGACACCATTCAGATGGACAGGCATAACCACAATGCTGGGATTCGGTGGACCTGCAGTGGCATGTCACACCATTCAGATGGACAGGCATAACCACAATGCTGGGATTCGGTGGACCTGCAGTGGCATGTTACACCATTCAGATGGACAGGCATAACCACAATGCTGGGATTCGGTGGATCTGCAGTGGCATGTTACACCATTCAGATGGACAGGCATAACCACAATGCTGGGATTCGGTGGACCTGCAGTGGCATGTCACACCATTCAGATGGACAGGCATAACCAAATGCTGGGATTCGGTGGACCTGCAGTGGCATGTGACACCATTCAGATGGACAGGCATAACCAAATGCTGGGATTCGGTGGACCTGCAGTGGCATGTTACACCATTCAGATGGACAGGCATAACCACAATGCTGGGATTCGGTGGACCTGCAGTGGCATGTGACACCATTCAGATGGACAGGCATAACCACAATGCTGGGATTCGGTGGACCTGCAGTGGCATGTGACACCATTCAGATGGACAGGCATAACCACAATGCTGGGATTCGGTGGACCTGCAGTGGCATGTGACACCATTCAGATGGACAGGCATAACCACAATGCTGGGATTCGGTGGACCTGCAGTGGCATGTCACACCATTCAGATGGACAGGCATAACCACAATGCTGGGATTCGGTGGACCTGCAGTGGCATGTTACACCATTCAGATGGACAGGCATAACCACAATGCTGGGATTCGGTGGATCTGCAGTGGCATGTTACACCATTCAGATGGACAGGCATAACCACAATGCTGGGATTCGGTGGATCTGCAGTGGCATGTTACACCATTCAGATGGACAGGCATAACCACAATGCTGGGATTCGGTGGATCTGCAGTGGCATGTTACACCATTCAGATGGACAGGCATAACCACAATGCTGGGATTCGGTGGATCTGCAGTGGCATGTGACACCATTCAGATGGACAGGCATAACCACAATGCTGGGATTCGGTGGACCTGCAGTGGCATGTGACACCATTCAGATGGACAGGCATAACCACAATGCTGGGATTCGGTGGACCTGCAGTGGCATGTCACACCATTCAGATGGACAGGCATAACCACAATGCTGGGATTCGGTGGACCTGCAGTGGCATGTTACACCATTCAGATGGACAGGCATAACCACAATGCTGGGATTCGGTGGATCTGCAGTGGCATGTTACACCATTCAGATGGACAGGCATAACCACAATGCTGGGATTCGGTGGATCTGCAGTGGCATGTTACACCATTCAGATGGACAGGCATAACCACAATGCTGGGATTCGGTGGATCTGCAGTGGCATGTTACACCATTCAGATGGACAGGCATAACCACAATGCTGGGATTCGGTGGATCTGCAGTGGCATGTTACACCATTCAGATGGACAGGCATAACCACAATGCTGGGATTCGGTGGACCTGCAGTGGCATGTTACACCATTCAGATGGACAGGCATAACCACAATGCTGGGATTCGGTGGACCTGCAGTGGCATGTCACACCATTCAGATGGACAGGCATAACCACAATGCTGGGATTCGGTGGATCTGCAGTGGCATGTTACACCATTCAGATGGACAGGCATAACCACAATGCTGGGATTCGGTGGACCTGCAGTGGCATGTTACACCATTCAGATGGACAGGCATAACCACAATGCTGGGATTCGGTGGATCTGCAGTGGCATGTTACACCATTCAGATGGACAGGCATAACCACAATGCTGGGATTCGGTGGACCTGCAGTGGCATGTTACACCATTCAGATGGACAGGCATAACCACAATGCTGGGATTCGGTGGATCTGCAGTGGCATGTTACACCATTCAGATGGACAGGCATGACCAAATGCTGGGATTCGGTGGACCTGCAGTGGCATGTCACACCATTCAGATGGACAGGCATAACCACAATGCTGGGATTCGGTGGACCTGCAGTGGCATGTTACACCATTCAGTTGGACGGACATAACCAAGCGCAGGCCTTAGTATACTGGCAGTGAAATCCCATGTGCCCCGTGTCACTGTGGCATGACACTGTGGCACTGTGGCATGCTGATGAAGTATATAAGGAAACTAAGGAAGGCCACATTAAAATGGTAACTGCTCTATGTCCAGAGTAGCTTCAGACTCTCAGTTGGACTGAGAGTTCATGAATCGAGGACTTAGTTTACTAAAGAATCATTCAAAAAGTGACTTGCATATCAACCATAAGGCATCATGCTTAAATGCTATGAAAAGCTTGTCTGAACTATAAAAATATAAAATATATTATAAAGCAAATAGCATCACAGGGTACAGTGGTGCACCACCTTGGATCCCAATACTCAATGCAGAGGCAGGTGGATCTTTGTGAATTCAAGGTCAGCCAGGGCTATGCAGTGAGACCTTATTAAAAAAACATGCATCCAGGCAGTGGGACCGGGACCTGTCCTCAGTGCATGTGCTGGCTGTTTGGAACCTGGGGCTTATACAGGGACACTTGGCTCAGCCTGGGAGGAGGGGACTGGACCTGCCTGGACTGAGTCTACCAAATTGAACTCAATCCTCAGGGGAGTCTTTGCCCTGGAGGAGATGGGAATGAGGGGTGGGCTGGGGGGGAAGGGGGACGGGAGGGGGGGAGAACAAGGGAATTCATGGCTGATATGTAAAATTAAATTATAAAATAAAATTTAAAAAACATGCATAAGCAAATAGCATCATTTCACCATCAAGAAAATGATACAAAGGTGTGGGAAAATGAAGAGTGGTAGCATAGTCAATGTAAACCTTCAGAAAACTCAAGAAAGTCAGCAATGTTTTATAACTATATATCAAATATTCTGCTATAAAATAAAACTGAAAGGGAGCAGTGTCTTCTGATATAGTGTCTTATGGGAAATATTATAAAAATGCACTCAGAAAACAGGCTCCTGTTATTATAGCCCTGTCCAGCCTCAAACTTAGGATCCTCCTGCCACAGCCACCTAAGTGCTGAGACTGCAGGTGTGCACCAACAGACCTGGTGACAAATTTCACAAGCATGCCTGACTCTGAAAGAATAAAAAAACCAAAATGAGCAGTAGTCATAAGGAATATATTCTGAATAAAAACAGAAGAAAAACTGGAACAGATAATAGAGGTAAAGCTATGGGAATTCTGCTCCCTCCTCTGTGGTGGCCGGAAATATCCAACAACACATCTCACCAAGCCAGGTCTTGAACTTGTCTGTAAGAGTCCAGGAAGCAAGAGATCTAGATACCGGCAGCATCTTTGGAGGTTTCTACTTTGACATCTCGTCCAGAGATGAGCATTGCCACAAATGATACATACTCCAGGAACTTCTGAACCCAGTTTCCAAAGTAATTTGGAGGCAGACAACAGAATTGCAGATAGGGATTAGGGTGTGAGTCAAGATGGCACTCAGGTTGGACAGAAAGTAACTTTCCATAGAACCTCACCATCCTCAGATGGGGAAACCAAGGGACCAAGAGACTGTGTGGTGAACTCGCCAGCTCCTCCCCACTAGTGTCAGCACCTGCAGGCAGCTTGTAATGTCTCTTTCTGCATTAACTTCACAGATTTTCACAAGGACCTCGCTTTACGTGGTATAGGTCTTAACAGTTTGGATCATGACAAAAACTTTGCCCAATATCCCAAGAGTTAAAGATTCACTAGATCCAGAAAAGTACAAATTCACATTGGATGTGGTAGCATACACCTATAATCCCAGCACTCAGGAAGCAAAGACAGAAGGATTGCAAATTTTAGTTTGGCCATGCCTAAATAAAAAGTACACAAAAGGGGGCTGGAGAGATGGCTCAGAGGTTAAGAGCACTGCTTGTTCTTCCAAAGGTCCTGAGTTCAATTCCCAGCAACCACATGGAGGCTCACAACCATCTGTAATGAGATCTGGCGCCCTCTTCTGGCCTGCAGGGATACATGCAGGCAGAATACTATATACATAATAAATAAATTTTTAAAAAAAAAAAAAAGTACACAAAAAGAACAAATTAATAGGTTAGCAAAAGCATTACCATCTATAAAGCACATGCTTTTAATCCCAGCTCTTGGGAGGCAGGTGGATCTCTGAGTTTGAGGCCAGCCTGATCTACAGAGTTTCAGGACAGCTAGGGCTACACAGAGAAACTCTGATTCAAAAAAAAAAAAAAAAATTAAGTTAGACAACCCAATAGAGTATCTTAAAATTTGTTTCACTCAGTGTTGTGATTTCAATAAGAACTGTCCCTTGAGTCATTGTTCTAGAAGGTTGCAGAACTTTTAGGAGGTGGAGATTCACTAGGGGAAGGTCCCTGGGGATGGGCTTGGATGTTTTATAGCCCTGCCCCACTTCTTATTCCTGAGTGTGGATACAACGTGAGCAGTGAACCTCCTGGTCCTGACCATGCCCTCCCTGCCTGCTGCCATTTTGGAGTACATCCCTCCAGAACTGTAAGTCCAGTCAAGCCCTTTCTCCCTTAAGTTGCTTTTTATTACAGGAATAACAAAGTAAGTAAAGCACCCAGCTTTGGAAAACACCCATTAAGCCTCTTACTAAGGCTGAAATAGAGTAAAACAGTTCTACAGGGTTCCAATTGAACAGGGCACTTGCATGGACTGATTCTACCGTGACAGAATCCCGTGAGCTATACCTAGTCACAACAGGGTGCCCTGTTGTCCCTTCAATGTTTCACTTACGGTCCCCACTGCTGGTCGAGGTCTGCTCCTCTCTGAGCGAGAACTGGAATGGCTTCATGATGTCTATTCACAACAGCCACGGTAATAGCAGGTCGACCTTGACTATCACAACAGTTAGGGTCTGCTCCCTGTGGGTCACGGAAAGGGACAAGCTTGCCACAAACCCCTGAACTCAACATTGCCCAACTGCCATCCCACCATGAATGACAAATGTCCTAGACAGGGATGATGGCATGAAGTTGAGTATAAATCAATGGAAAGGAGAATGAGCAATCTCATGAACACAGCTGTCAAGCCCCCAGATGTTTAAGACTTTTCCCCACATGGGGAAGAGCAAGCACCCAACCACCTTGCTTTGTTAGGAAAGCAGGCGGAAAGTAAGTGTGGCCACATTCTGTGCAGCTCGTGGACATCACTTGGGTCCACACATGCTTGTCTACATTATTCCTTGCCATAAAAACCGGCAGAGGAACATCGAGTCTAAATCCCTTGACCAGTCACTGACCCCATTTGCATGCAGTGTTTAATTGACAGGCAGCAGGCACAAACCAGGCTGATCCCTGCAGAGAGGCCTGTTCTGCAGGCACTCACTTCATCGAGCAGCTGCTCCAGCACAGACAGTCTTCCTTTCCCTGTGGGGCCAACTTCCTCCAGCAGGAGTCTGTTTTCAGGCTGTGGAATGACAGAATGTGGTCATCTTCAGCGCCTCTGTGTGTCTGTGTTGCAGAGTCCCAGCCCCCATGCTCGAGGCACAAGCCTTCTCCCAGTTTAGTAGTGAACAACAAGGATGAGTGTGTGTGTGTGTGTGTGTGTGTGTGTGTGTGTGTGTGTGTGTGTGTGTTTCTCCAAGTGTTTTTGTGTGCACACAGTCTTCCATATGCAGTAGTACAGGCATACATACATGTGTAACTGTAATGTGTAATCTGTGCTCAACTCCCAAGCCCTGTTGTAGGTAAGGACACTGTCTTGACATTATTTTATACAATCAAGGGCAAGGAGGCACACAAGAGACCTCATAAAACTTTGCTAGTTTTGTAATGAATATTTCCAGGAAGAGCAGCTAGGGTGTGAAACCTAGAATCCACTCTGCAGGCTTACTAAAGAGCTTGAGGCCAGCCCAATAAGACAGACCACACATTCACCCAAGAAATGGAACCAATAGAGCCTGTCTCTTGCTTAGGAAAAAATACTTTCATCGGTCCATAGACATTTGAAGAATTTATGTTTTCAAGATGCTATGAAATTTACCTTTTTCTGTCTTCAATATCATTTTCTATACAAAAAGGATTTCCAATACTAGGAGACTGAAGGAAGTAGGCCCAAACAAGCACTTTGCTTTAGCACACTTCGGCCACCAGTCCTCAGGCATGCCTTGGGTGATCACAGAGACCCCGACTGCCCTTTGTAAAAGTGTTTACAAAATCTACTCCCCCTGCCTTCCTGGGCTGCTAAGCCTTTCAGAAGATATGGGGTTCAGGCTATGTCACCCCTCATTTGCCACCCCACCTCTCTGGTGAGCTTCTTGGAACAAGGTACTGTATCCTAATTAGAAAAACCCCAGCATGGTCTTGGGTATAGTACCTAGTCACAGTGAATTCTGTTCCTTATAGGAAAATGAATTAGAACGTCAGCTTCCTGAACTCTGGAGCCACATCTGGGTATGCTCAAAATAATCACTACATAGCGAATGAAAGCTGGAGCTGGTAAGTGCAAATGAGAAAGCAGAGGCACACAGCAGTGGGAAATTTGGGTCACACACAGACTAACAAGGCATTGTAAACCATTAATTTGGGGAACTCTATACTTCTCTTATACTTACTAGTTCAAACTGGGGGACGGTGGGGAGCACAAGCAACAATCATAAAATCCTCCCCCCAGATTTACTAGTGCATGTGAGGCCTGTGTTGCAGGAGCCACATGCAAATGTAAAGAACAGTCCCTGCCTTCAGAGCAACTGAGATGCAAGCAAGGGGGTGAGAGCATGCCCACTGTGGAAGCCCAAGGACCTGGCAGAACCCAGGGAGGAGGGGAGCACCACACATGCCCATCTCTATGTCTGGCTTGCTGTTCTTCACAGTTGTTCTCTGTGCTGCAGCCCAAGAGGGCCAGAGACAGGCAAACTGGGGAGGGCAGTGGGGCACCCTCGGTCCCTTTCTCCAAAGCTCCCTTCAGGATTATTCATGGCATGTATTTTAAAAGACTAAACCTCAAAGCTGTAGGAAATCCTAAAGTGATGCCCACTGTTGGTGGACTAGTGATTTTGAGGGATTTCAAAGAAGACTAGACTAAATAAAAGCAAAGCAAAAAACAAACAAACAAACAACAACCTGAGACCCAGAGATCTGAGTGTTTTCTCTCTAGCTGAACATTCGGATTCTAAGTCAGTCAGTAAGGAAGGTATCTACTGGGTTCAGGCTGCAGGCAAGAGTGTACCACTGAAGGACTTACTGTGAATGGCTGAGACAGCTGGCACCCACCCCCTCCGCTCCTCTGCGAGGGTAGGAAAACCATGCTTTCTATATAAACCCGTTACTATTTTCTAGAAATCACATGATTTACCCAGCAAAGGCTTCTGATGGGTGAAGGGAAGAGTACAGTCACAAGGGAGGGTAGAAGAGGAAGAGAAAGAACAAACACAACTTCATGCAGAACTGAAATATACATGAGCACATCACACCATTAACACCCTTGCCACCAGAGGAAAGACCTTCTATATCGGCAGCCCAGGAGACCCTAATGATTCTCCTGCCCAGTAACTCTGGGGAATCCCATCATAGTGGTTTGAAAGAGAATGGCCCCCATAGGCTCCCATGGCAGGTCCAGTGTCTTTCTCTCTGTCTGCAATATGCAGATCAGATGTGAACCCTTAGCTATTTCTCCAGTATCATGCCTGCCTGCCACCATGCTCTCTGACATGATGATCATGGACTAACCCTCTACAGCTGTAAGCAAGCCCCCAGTTAAATTCTTTCTTTTATAAGCTGCCTGGGTCACAGTGTATCTTCACAGCAGTACAACAGTAACAAAGAAACCCATCCATAAGCACCCACCCACAAAGGAACTTCAACTCACAAACCTATTCATGCTTGGTGCTCACACTGGACACCCATGCCAGTCACCAGTGCTGATCCGACTAGCCCTTCATTTGTTAAGTGATTAGACAATGAAGGATCATCATGTATCCAGCCAAACCAAATACAAGGCAGAGAAAGATGAGCACTCAGAACTGACCCCAGAGGAAACAGAGATGATCCAGGAAATTGATGAGACTTTAAAAATAGTTCTAGTTCGCCATCTTGAGAAATTTGCCACAAAATAAACAACACTATTGTTTAAAAGGAGGAGAAAATGAGAAAGCATTCCATTACAAAATGTCCAAATAAACATTGATGCAACGGGCTGCAGAAGAGCTAGGGAGACCAAGAAGTGCACCTACCGTAGGCATCTCTGGGTTTCTGTAGAAGCTTTTGGCCTTGAGATTCTTCATCTTGACACTTTCGGGGGTGTCTGAGGCGCTCTGGCTATAGGCACTCACTGAAGTGACAAAGAGTTGGAGACCAAAATGACCCTGCCTTACTTCCCACATGTGAGGAGGCACTTTGGTCAAGCGCCTCAAAAGCCAAAAAGGATAAAATGGATTTTCTAGAAATTTTTATTAAACCTGGCAGGTGGGACCCTTGACCACCCCTCTGGGAACCAGAAAATGAGTGGAGCAGTAACTTAGGTTATAAAGCACATGTATACCTCCCGCCAGCTACAGCAAATAAACCTCCCAAGCCCTGTGAAGGACTTCAAAAGTCATATCCCAACTCCAGAGAAGCCAGACAAACAAACTGCCTGGAACATGTTGAGATTTGTGACTTAGCTTCAAATTTTATACAAGTCTTATCAATCTTTGCCCACTCTATGTATTCTTGATTAATTATCAAAAACTCACCAGAAGGGTATAACTCACCCAAGCTGGACCTGCTGTCATACAGCCCATTGCCACCTTCGGTGACACTGCTCAGAAAGTGGTCACTGAGACTCACCGACTTGTTGATGTACAGGTTCTGGCCAATGAAAACATTTCAAGCATCACTAATGATGGGGCTGCCATGTCTCAACAGAGAGACCTACTGCTAGCCTGTTCCTCAGGAGGGACACTAACAGTGCAGCCTGAGGCTGGGAACCCTGCACACAGTAGGCAAGCACTCTACCACTCAGCTATATCCCCAGGGCGCTTTCTACTTCTAAGACAGTGTCTCACAAAGTTGTCCCAGATGGCCCTCAACTTGCTCTGGCCTTTACTTTGAGATCCTCATGCCTTATTTTGTAGAAAACAAATAAGTCAAGGTGAACTCAGTAAACATTTTGTGTTAGTCTTTTTCCAGATTCATTGTATCCCAGGCATATAATCATTTCAGTGAGTTGTAAACCACCCCAAAGAGCACCAAAGTGGGGCGGGTGGTAATTCCTGTTCCTACCACATCCTCTGGGCTGGAGAGTGGGTCTCTCTGGTAGTTAGCACACCTATTTATATAGTCCCCTGGAATTCCTTGTCTAGGTCAGGTTTCTTACTATTTGAAACTTTTCCTTTCTAGTCATTACACAAAAGTATTCCTGTAAACTGTCAGCCAATAGTACAATCAATTTGTGAATAACCTCTAAAGGATTTCATACCTTGTTGGAGACTTGAATGTAGTTCAGCCTGATGCTAACTTCGTAGCCGTCTTCATGGACAGTAGCAGAGACAAGCTTTTAAAGAAATTTAAAGAATATTCTCAACTGTAGTGTAGGACTAAATACCTAGGAATTCTGAGATGTTATACTCTATACTTAATAAAATAATTATCACGAAAAAGGTTAGAATAGAGAAAGAAGAGAAATGGAATAAATAGGAAACAAAGAACAAAGAAGCAGACTCAAAACCAACTGACCTATATTCCTAATTATAAAGGAACTAAATACCTCAATACAGGGCAGAGGTTCTCAGACTGAATAAGAACAAGATCCAAATTTATATTTTCTTCAAGAGACTTCCTTCAGTCAGCCATATGGCTGTGCCATTACTTTTGAAAAGGTGTCCTGGTGAATGGGGGGTGGGGCAGCTATTCAATGAAGGAGCTCAGGAGTGAGCAGCTTTCTCTGTAAGCTGCAGAACAAATTTAAACAGGGCAGCAAATGTTTCTGAGGATCAGATGGTATTTTTTTTTTATGTCTTGTTGGTCATAAACCTTTATTGCAAATGCTTAGCCTTGCTGTTGTAGCCCAAAGCAGCCATGGTTAACATGTAAATGGATGGATACATCTCTGATCCAATAACATATTATTTGTAAAACTAGGCAGTAAGCCACATTTGTCCCAGAGGGAATAGTTTGCTGAACTCCAGATTAAGACAAAGTATGTATAAGCTATCAAAATAGTCCATCAAAAGAAGCTGAGCAGTACTTGAAAACAAGACAGGGTCAGTGTTGGATGATTTTGTGACTGATTTGAAAGGGTTTCTTCTAGTTTGTGACAAACAGGAAATGTTCTCCCACTGAACTGTCTCTTAGTAATGACTTTGTGCCAAAGAATAGGCATGTGGTTTGGGATCTACAGACCTGTTCCACATCTGAATGCCCAAGACACAGCAGCAGTTTGGGGCAGCTTGCCAAACCTCTCTGAGCTTCAGTTATACTGCTTATCAAATAAGACTTGCTATGAAAATCTACAGAGTTAAAACAATACAAACCAAAATAACCTCGATTTTGTGCCATTAAAAACCACTGCTTTAGCTGGGTGTGGTGGCTCATGCCTTTAATCCTAGCACTCAGGAGGCAGAGGCAGGCTGATCTCCGAGTTCAGGGCTAGCGTGGTTTACAGAGCAAGTTCCAGGGCAGCCAGTACTACACAGAGAAACTCCACCTCAAAAAACAAACAAAAAGAAAAAAGAAAAGAAAGCATGAAAGCAGAGATAGAAAGGAAAGGGCGAAACACACACACACACACACACACACACACACACACACACACACACACACACACACATACACACATGCAAAATGAACAAGCAAAGTCTTGGGGAAGCTGGATCCCAGGGATGCTCTGAGTGGTAGCTTCATCTTACCCACCTTTCCCATCCTGGGTTCTGCAATCAAGGCCCGAAAATCAGGGTTGTTCTGAGCATAGGACCTGAGGTGAGCAGAGATGTGATCCAACTGTTTTCTCCAGTAGCCTAGAAAGGGAGAGAACCCCAAACACATTGATAATTCTTCCACATTTAAGAAAGAAAGAAGCAAGCGTGGAACATACATTCTCAGGTTATTTTCCTTGGCCAACTGTATTGGGTTTTCCTTACAGAACCTCAAGTATGCACTAAAGTAAGTGCCACAACCACCCCCAGGCTGGCACACACGATTATCACAGATCATCACATTTCAAAAGAATGTGCATTGATTGCTGCAGGTGAAGCCTTTTATTCTTATAGTATTCTATCTCACATATAAATAACAATGTCTTAAATGAATGGTTTGACAACTGTGTTCATCCCAGTCAACATCCAGAACATTTCCACTACTCCAGAAAGTTTCTTGTGCCCTTTCTAGTCTACATAGGGGTTTAAACGCATTTGAATTAGAAATCAGAGCGGTTTTGTTTGGTTTCTCACGTGTGGGAGAGAGACTGAGTGGGCTCCCACCTTTCTGCCCAGACTGGAGGCGCTCGACAAGGAGAAGCAGACTGGGGTGGGATCTCAGCTGAGACGGCAGAGCCAGTCAGGCACTGACAGGAAGATTTAGCCCTTCTTTTCTCTTAGCTATGTGGGTTCATTAAATGACTGAGTTTGTTGGTACACAGTACCCTTGTTGTCCTCTAGCAGGTCTCTTTCATCCAGGAACACACAGTGAATTTCTTTATCTGGTGCTGACCTTCTAGCGAGCACACTGACCTTTGTCCTTCTTAAAGCTTAAGGTCAGAACTGTCAGGGCATCTCATCTACCTTGTTCCACTGGCCAGCAAGTGACCATCTAGATTCCAAGAGACAGAAAACAGTCTCTTCCTCTTGAGGACAGGAGGGATATTAGGAATCATTCTGGAAATGATTGTAGATGATCTCCTTAAGGCTAATGCCACACTCAAGTCTATAAGAGTCAATCAAACTGTGGCTGAGTTCTAACTCCTAGTAGGGAAACTTAGGGAGCAAGATAGAGTTAGGAGGCCACTATCATGACAGCCTGAGGATCTTGGTGCTCCCTTTCCCCAGAGAAATCAGTTTTAAAAGGCAACGAAAGGCTGGAGAGGTTGCTCAGTGGTTAGAGCACTTGCTCCCGCAGAGGACCTGGATTTGATATCCAGGACTCACATGGTGGCTCACAAACATCATTAACTATTTCTGTGGAGACCCACAGAGGTTTCCTAGTGAGAACTTACTCAGGGTCTGAGAATCTGAGCTTGCTCTACCCAGCAGGGTTGCATAAGGGAATGATTTGGCCACGGGCGTGGTTACCAGGTGTTTGGAAGGGTCTACACTTGGCTGTGTGGTGTGCTTTGATCTAGCAAGGGGGAGGTCTTTTGCTCCACCCTTTGGAATTGTTATATAAAGCCCTTTTGAATAAATGGAAAAGGCCATTGGGTATTGACCCAGGTCCTCCCGAAGCTATCCTGTGGTTCTGTCTTTCTCCTCTCTGTTATCTTTCTATCTAACATTTTCTTATCCCTCTCTCCTCCTCATAAGAACCCTGGAAAAGGTGGGAGCTGGCCCCCCACACAGTTCCAGGGGATTTGATGCCCTCTTCTGACCTCTATGGCAGGCACCAGCACACATGTAATGCAGATACACATATATGCAGGCAAACACTCACACACATAAAATAAGTAAACCTAAAAACAATCAATGACCTAAATTCTCTGGAAGTGTTTCTAAAGTATTTAATGAAGAAAATGTACTGAAACTCCGAATAGTAAGTGGGTGGTGTCTGAATAATAATCCACCTTGCTCTTGCCAAATATGACGGAAACTCCAGTCCAGGTATGCACAGTCAGGAACACAGTCCTGTCATTCTTGGTTCTAAGTTCAACCTCACTATCTTCTCAGAATAAACAGGATTTCCCTACTTCTCATCCTGCCCCAACTGCCGAGTGCATAGCCTAAGTTCTTGGCAAGTGTGGTCACAAGGGTGTTCTCCCTGTTCCTGTCCAGCCATTGCTCACAGGATGGAGGCTCTACCTCGATCTGATGTATTGTTGATACTGGGTACCCAGATCACCTATTCTTGGTTCATTTATCAAAGGTCCATTTTGAGAGAGGTAACAACAGAAAACCATATATGATTGCTGTGTTCCCTGGGATGAATGTCATTCTGAGAGAAAAGTACCAATGTCCATGCCCGAACATATTTCTGCCCAAGGGAGAAAGAAGGCCAGGAAGCAGAGAGTTCAGAAGCTCTTCCCAAAGGAACTGACTTCATTTTAACAGAGTGTGGAAAAGTTCAAACTCAGAACAATGGAAGGGGATGATACAAGGCAATTATAACGGGCTGGGCATTTAGTTCAATGGCGGAGTGTTTGCCTAGCATGCACAAGGCCTTGAGTTCAATACCAGCACCTAAAGAAGGAAGTGGGAGCAATCACAGTTCTGGTGAGTTCACTACAGGTAAGAGCTACATCATATACATCATAGGTTGGCCACTTTACATAGAACGGGGGGGGGGGGGAGAAAACAGCTGATTAGAGCCCTTCTGAAGTCAGAAAATTATTCAAATACTGACCTGTGAAAATACTGCTGTAAAAGACCCCACGTTTAATTAGATCAGTGAAAGGATTGATGATGACCTAGAACATGGCTGAAAACAATAAAGTGACAAACTAGCAGTGATTAAAACTCAATGGTGGGAGAGGTCCGGAAGGGAGGGAGGGAGGAGGGGAGGCGGGAAGGCGGGGAGGCGGGGAGGGAGGGAGCCTTCCAAACCCACCCAAACCACCATCTTCCTAGGCCACAGAGTGCAAGCCAAGGGTGTACCCCCTAAAGCGCAGCCTCAGAGGCTCACCCAGCAGGAGGAACTGCAGTTCACCAGGAAGACTGGGCTAGCGGCTAGGCAGGGAAATGTGCAAACAGCAATAACAAGCCTGGAGGGGACACCAGACTAGCGTTGAAATAATCAATCATTTAAAATCTCCAGTGCCGGAGATTTTAAACAGTCTCAAACTGTTACCTGCTGCTGGGACCCTTTCCTCCTACTGGGTTGCCTCGTCCAGCCTTAATATGAGGGGAGGTGCCTAGTGTTACTGCAACTTGATATGGCGTGTTTGGTTTCTATCCCAGGGGAGGCCTGTCCTTTTCTGAGGGGAAACAGAGGAGGAATGGATTGGGAGTGGGAGGTGTGGGGTGGGGAAGTGTTGGAGGGACTGGGAATGGAACGAGAGAGGGGAAACTGTGATCAGAATGTAATATATGAGAGAAGAATAAATTAAAAAAATGTAAAAAAAAACAACAAAAAATTATGAAAGAGGAAAGTTCAACTAAAACATAAGAATAAAAGGCAGGGCTGGAGAGATGGCTCAATGGTTAAGAGCACTAGCTGCTCTTCCAGAGGTCATGAGTTCAATTCCCAGCAACCACATGGTGGCTCACAACCATTTGTAATGATATCTGGCGCCCTCTTCTGGCCTGCAGAACACTATATACATAATAAATAAACCTTAAAAAAAAAAGGTTTTATTTCCTTAATTTCAAAAAAAAAAAAAAAAAAAAAAAAAAAGAATAAAGGGCAGGTGAGTGTAGTGGGTAGCCATTCCAGCTTTGATCTGGAAGTTCCAACCCCCATTGAGACTTCGGCAACTGTCACGCCTACAAGGTGGGGCCAAGGGAGGCGCCTGGGGATCTGAGAGCTGGATTGGCGGGCGCTCTCTCTGTTGCGGGACCCTGGACTGGAGAGGTGGACCGAGCAGAGCTCCAGAGAACACCGCTGGACTGTGATACACCTTCCCCAGACTCCGCGACCTACCTATTCCTTAATTTGTAAGTTACGCCATTAAATAAATCTCCTTTTAACTACGTGGAGTGGCCTTAATAATTTCACCAATAGGTGAGAGCCAGGTGGTGGTGGCATAAGCCTTAATCCCAGCACTTGGGAGGCACAGGCAGGAGGATCTCTGAGTTCGAGGCCAGCCTGGTCTACAGAGAGAGTTCCAGGACAGCCAGGGCTACATAGATAAACCCTGTCTCAAAACAAAACAAAACAAAACAAAACAACAAACAAGTCAGGTGAGAAAAACTGCCTTTGACAGCAACTGCAAGTTGGGGCTTTAACAAAACTCCAGAGTAGCCATTATAAACGTGTCCAAGGTGTTAGTTAGATTGCAGATCCTGTAGATGTCCCTCTCTCCCAGAAATAAAGCCCCCTGCAGTTCTCTCTCTCTCTCTCTCTCTCTCTCTCTCTCTCTCTCTCTCTCTCTCTGGGCCACTAAGTGGCAGAAGGGCCAGAGAAACGTCAAGAAGTGGCAAGGCCACAGACAGGCAGGGCAGTGGCTGACAGGCACTCTGGCATAGGGAGAGGGCACACGGGAAAGGTGTGGGCGGTGGCCATTTGAGAAGCACAAGCTTGCTACTGGACTGATGACTGTGCTCACTCCTGGAGAGGGTGATGGTGGCTGTGTGCGATCATTAATGAATGTGCTTGACGTCCTTCAATCGCACACTTAGACACAGTTAAAATAGTGAATGGTATGCTACGTGAGTTTTATGCACTAAAAAGCCATAATGACAGGTGGCGATGATGACACTGACTAAGCCTGTCTACACAGCAGAATGAACCCACATGCACCATGAGACTGGTGGAGCAGACAGCAGGCCAGGAGTTAGAGTACTGGAGGAGTAAAGTCTAAGGAAGAGCTACTGTTCATACCAAGAGTGACTTGAACAAAGAAAAAGGAACATATTTCTAGTCCATGAAAATAAATCTAAAAGGGAGGGAAACATGGGAGGTTCTCCAGAGAGAGGGGTTCCTCCTACCAGGAGCAGGTGCCCCCGCTTACCTCTTCCTGGGCTGACGGCTGTGAGGACGGGCCTGTGGTCACTCATCTTCTCCTGCCTCTGCCTGTGAGAAGCCGCCTCCAGCTCCTTCTTTGCCAGGAGCTTGCCAGATGGGTAGAACAGGCCCGAGGTCTGTGTGCCCGTGTCCTTCTTAGACCCAAAAGCAGAAGTGGGCAAAGGGACACTTAGGGACTGCCAGGCAGATCGGGGCTATGGGCAAGGGAGAATACACTTGAAGATTAGAATCTAATTTAACTAACCCCATCTCCAACCACAAAACACAATTTAAATCAGAATAAAAAACACCGAACTAAAGGTGTTTGTTGGGGGTAGGGGCGGGGTTCTTGCCTCCACTGCTTATCTTCCTCGCTCTTCTCTTTCCCAGCAACTCCTACCTTGATTCATGAAGGTAGCCTCTCCCCTTGGTCATTTATTGTCCCCAGTTCAGCCAATTAATGATGCTTCTATCCTGCCTGGGCCTGGAAGACATCTACCCTCTCAGTTCTATGATATAATGGAACACAGTCTTTACTGCGCAACCACATTCAATGGCTGAGAATGCACATTTCTTTGACAGACCTAAGAAAATCACCATGGAAAGCTGTGTGGCTGTATGGTGTCACTGCATCTAAAGGGACAGCATTCACATGGCAGACAATGTATGTTTCTATATTTATTAGGATCAACTTCCTGGCAGAGAGAAGAAAATGTCTAAGAAACCTTACACAGCTGATGGAACAGGGCAAGGAGGAAGGTTCTTGGACTGCTACTGGGAAAATGCCAGAGCAGTTCACTCTGCCGCATGCAGAGAAAGCTCCTTCTCTCTGGGGCACTGTGTCTACTGCCTCGTAGATGCTATTAGACACAAATCTCCATCAGAACAATGCCATTTTAGTTTCCTCATTTTTTTTGGAAGCAAGGTTTTGCTTTCTACCCTAGGCTAGAGTTTTACCCTAGAACTTGCATAAATATGTAATTTTTGAAGAAATCATTCAAAAGTTTAATTTCTTTTTGGTTTTGATTTTTTGAGACAGGGTTTCTCTGTGTAAGTCTTAGCTGTCCTGGATCTCACTCTGTAGACCAGGCTGTCTTCTAACTCACAGATATCCACCTGTCTCTGCCTCCCAAGTGCTAGGATTAAAGGCTTATGTCACCACCGTCTGGGGCATTCAAGAGTTTAAAACCTAAATTGAATTTATTTACATACCTAGTTCAAAGTCCATGTGCAATGTCTACATATTTTGGTTCTGGTCTTCTGGACTGATTCATAGGGCAGGGGACACAAAGCCAGTTAAACCTGGCAACAGTTCTTACCACCATGCAGCATGTAGGCCTTACCTCAGAAAATGGGCGATGTCCGCCAGCAACCAGGGCCAAGCTGTTGTTCATTCTAAATCTTGCTATGGACTTCACATAAATACCACAGGTGCCACAGAATCGGGCAGACAGATGATTGTTGGCCCCACATTTTGGGCAGACAGAGTGGCTGCTAGAAATGCCAAGCTACAGAATAGAAATATTTTTATGATTTTAGAGTTTTAACTTGCTCACGCAAACTATTCTCACACCATATAGTCTCTAGTCATCAAAATAACATATGCTCCTGCCCTCTGACCTAACAGTTCTACCTCTAGACTTTCTCTTACACATGGACAATCACTTCAAGAAATACATCCCAGGTTATCTTTTGTAGTATTATAGGTGTTTAAAAATTACATTTTAAATTTATTGTGTGCATGCGCGTGTGTGTGTGTGTGTGTGTGTGTGTGTGTGTGTGTGTGTGTGTGTACTACAGTGCCTCTGCAGAGGTCAGAAGGCAACTTTGGAGAGCTAGTTGTTTCTTCCCACCAGGTGGATTCCAAGAATTGAATTCATAATGCAAGATATCCAAGAGAGTCTGCTTAAGGGGTCTTCAGGTTTGGTGGAAGGTGCTTCCACCTTGACCCATCTTTCCAGCCCAGTAGTGGCAGCCTAGAGGAAATAAGTGTCCAGCAGGGGGAGAGATTGCCTAAATTAAACCATGGTATGTGCATATAGAGTCTCTACTATAGACGATGGCTTGTGAAGCCACAGGAAGCAAGGTATACTGCCAGGTGGAAAGAGTGGGTCACTAAGTGCCAGCTCACTGGGGACCTGAGAGAACCTGGGGTCTCAGAAGCAGGCGTGCTTCTGAGCAGAGGTGCTGTGGGCTGAGATGAAGGAGACAGTCATTCACTCTTTTGTTACTCACATGCGGTATCAAGTAAACATAAACATAAATAAATATTTGATTAAAAAATAGGCAAACTCCATTCAAAGAATAAATTACAGTGGTCAGTAAATTAGTGAAAAGGGTTAACCCAAAAAAATGCAAATCAAATGTCAGTGAGAAGGGCTTCTTAGTTCCAGCCCATGAAACTATTATTTCTACCTCCAAATTTTTGATACAGAAATCATAGGAAGAATCTCCTGCAAGGCTATGGGGAGACCTTAGCTCTCCAGGGTGCCCAGCACAAAGGAGTCAGTCTTTGTTGCTGTTTTTTCAAGACAGGGTTTGTCTGTGTAGCTCTGGCAGTCCTGAAGCTTGTTCTGTAGACCAGGCTGGCCTTGAACTCACAGAGATCTGCCTGCCTCTGTCTCCTGAGTGCTGGGATTAAAGGTGTGCGCTACCACCGCCTGGTGACGAGGCTCAGTCTTTAGGTACCTACCGCGGATCCACACCAGTCGCAGAAGGATGCCTCCCAGTTGTTCTGGCAGCCACATCTGGAGCAGGAAATGGTCTCCCCACTCCGAGTAGGCGGGCGAAGGACTTCATTTCCATTGCACAGCCATGGCTAGACAAAGCAGCATTGACAGGCAGAGTCACAACTATGTTCTCCAGTTCCCACTCCATCCAAATAAGCGAACAAAAGCCCAAACAACAGAAACTGGAAATATCCTCTGTGGTGATATTGTGTTCCCCAATATATCGTGCACCCTAATAAATTTATCTGGGGTCAGAGAAGAGAACAGCCACTAGACAGACATAGAGGCCAGAAAATGGTGGCAGTCACACCTTTAATCCTATCACTTGGGAGGCAGAGATCCATCTGGATCTCTGTGAGTTCAAGGCCACACTGGAAATAGCCAGGCATGGTGACTCAGGCCTTTAATCCCAGGAAGTGATGGCAGAAAGGTATATAAGGTGTGAGGACCAGGAACTAGAGCTGGTTATGCTTTTAGGCTTTTAGCAGCAGTTCAACTGAGATTCATTCTGGATGAGGACTGAGAGGCTTCCAGTTTGAGGAAACAGGATCAGCTGAGGAATTGGCAAGGTGAGGTGGCTGTGGCTTGTTCTGCTTCTCTTATCTTCCAGTATTCACCCTAATATCTGGCTCTGAGTTTATTTTTATTAATATGACCATTTAAGATTTGTGCTACAATCCTCCCCCGCCCCACTTTTCTTTTGACAAAACGGGTAAAAGTATGATAGATTCACCTATTTTTGTTTGCTTTTTTGAGACAGGGTCTCTCTCTACGTAGTCCTAGCTGTCCTGGAACTTGCTATGTAGACCAAGCTGGCCTTGAATTCACAGAGATTCCCCTGTCTCTGCCTCCCGAGTGCAGGGATTAAAGGTGTGTGTCACTAAGCCTGGCCCAGATTCATAAATTTTTAAGTTCACATTCCTTGCTGCAAATCATAGGAAGTCAATGAAAATGGAATCTTCTACATCTCCATACCCCCCTATATCATTGGTATTATGGGTTGAGTAAGCCAACTAGTATTACTAGAACATTACTGATAAACCAAGCTGAGCCACATAGGGTCATGACTGGGACTTATCTTCTCCCCTCTGCCCTAGGGAAACGTTGATTTATTCTTCAGCCTGGGCATGGGAATGATAGGGTGAGGAAAGGGCCACTTTTATTCTACATTGTAAGACCACATTTAGGGGCTGGAAAGATGGCCCTGTGGCTAAGAGAACTTTGTCACCCTTTCAGAGGATCTAGGCTTGATTCCCAGCACCCATATGGTAGTTCACAACTGTCTGTAACTCTAGTTCCAGGGGATCTGACACTCTCTTCTGACCTCTGAGGGCATGAGACACACAAGAGGTGCACAGAAATACATGTAGACAAAACACCCATATATATATATATAAAATAAATCATAAAATTAAAAAAGCAAGAGCACATTTGTACTTCATACTGTAAAACAAAACCCGCAGCTCCACACTGGACGTAGTCCAGCATGAACACCTGCCAGCTGCTAACAGCTTGCTTGTTTGGAGCTAGCCTTTAACACAGGGATCTCCAGAAGGCTCTTTAGGAGGAAGGTAGACTACATCACTGGGAGTATGTGAACCTTTACTACACAGAGACAATAATGAGGGGAAAGTACTCGGAGCAACAGGGAGAGAAGTACAACACCAGGAGGCAAGCACCAACGCCTCCCAGAGGTGAGGCTGCTGAGGACCAGAGAGAAAACCTTTGCAATGAGTCACTGCTTCTCTTCAGATTCCCTGTAAAGTATGTCAGCTGAGATGGGATGGGGAAAGCAGACTGAGGGAGGTTCCCTGGCTTCCCAGATTGCCAGATCTCTAAATAAAGTACAGTTTCAAGACTCAGTTCCTCTCTCTGGTCCCCGGCTCCAGTACTCTAGTTACAAAAGGAATTCTTTTATTGTGGAGAGGGAAATGGTGGTTTCTTGAGGACTTTCTGAAACTGTTAGGTAGACCTGGGTTAGAATCTTGGCTCGTGCTGCTTATTCACTGTGTAATGTGACAGCTTCTCACTTTCCAAATGGGGATGGTAGTAAAAGTGGCAGTTCTGTGACTGTCTGTGCAAGAACTGTTCCAAGTACTCGCCTGCAACCTTATGTCAACTCACACAACCTGTGAGATAGGTGTCATCACTGAGCCCAGGCCAACTGATTTTACAGCCTCTTGTTCAGGATTTCACACGGTCCCTCGGCAGCATCCTCACAGGTCTGTAGTGGGTTTGGGTGAATGCCAAGTGAGTACAAAGGGATGCTCAGCACAGGCAGGGTCAAGTTCTCTTCCTCAAGCTTCTCTCTCTGGGCTTTCTATTAGATGCTGACTTATGCACATGAAAGGACTATAATTCTATATTTCAGCCCCTTAACCCAGAAAGCTGAGGAAGGAGAGAGGCCATGCCAGTCCCTAGCCCAGGGAGCAGAGGAAGGAATCTTTCCATGATTATTAACCTAGTTTCTGTGCAATCAGAGACAGGCTCTTTGGAGTACTCTGAAAGACATTCTTCGGAAACTTTTGCTTCAGATTTTACATTTCAATTGTCCTAGTATTAATTTTTTTCCTTCTTAAAAGAAAAAGATTTATTTGTTTTACTTTATGTGAGATTTTGCCTATATGTATGTATGTACACCATGTGCATGCCTTGTACCAGAGCAAGTCAGAAGAAGGCACTGGATTCCCTGCAACTGAAATTATGGATGGTGGTGAGCCACCAAATTTGACAGAGATTTTGCCAACTTGTGGTTCTAAATACGAAGGAAGCCTTCAGATCTTTCGTTAAGGATGAAAGTCCAAGTGCACTTTAAAATATAAAGTTGCTTTAAAGAAAGAAAAATTCTCTTACCCCATCATATCAATGCTGCTAAACAAAGAAAGACATGGAGCTGCCAGACTGAACATGCAATGCTACTTTCTGCCCCTTCCATAAACACTATCATTCTAACACCTACATGCTGATATGCCATTCAGATACAAACACATCTTTAAAAACATTCACTTTTGGGGCCTGGGGAGATGGCTCAGTAGTTAAGAGGACTTGCTGCTCTTGCAGAAGACCAAGGTTTGATTCTCAGCACCTACATGGTGGCTCATAGTCATCTCTAACTCCAGTTCCAGGAGATCCAATGACCTCTTCTGACAGCTATGGTTATCAGACACACACGTGATGCACATACATGCACACAGGCAAAAACGCTCATACATGTAAAATAATTTTTTTTTCAATTTTGGTATTGTTCCTAAACAGTTTTATTGACAGATAAAAAACAGAAATGGGGGCCGGGTGGTGGTGGCGCACGCCTTTAATCCCAGCACTTGGGAGGCAGAGCCAGGTGGATCTCTGTGAGTTTGAGGCCAGCCTGGGCTACCAAGTGAGTTCCAGGAAAAGGCGCAAAGCTACACAGAGAAACCCTGTCTCGAAAAAACAAAACAAAACAAAACAAAACAAAACAAAAAAACCAAAAAAACAGAAATGGGGGCTGGAGAGATGGCTCAGAGGTTAAGAGCACTGACTGCTCTTCCAGAGGTCCTGAGTTCAATTCCCAGCAACCATATGGTGGCTTACAACCATCTATAATGAGATCTGGTGCCCTCTTCTGGTGTGCAGACATACATACAAACAGAACACTGTATACATAATAAATAAATCTTTAAAAATAAATAAATAAATAAAAATAAAACTAAAAAAAAACAGAAATGGAAGAATCATATCATTAGTAGTTAATATAATCAATTTAAAATGTCTTACTTCTTATATATAAGAAGTCCAGAAGACCAAAGGAAAGGATAAGAGGAAGGATGAAGGAAGGGCTGAAAATCTTTTATATTATTATTATTATTTAGTTATTATTATTTTGAGACAAGGTTTCTCTGTTTAACAGCCCTGGCTGTCCTGGAACTCACTTTGTAGACCAGGCTGGCCTGAACTCACACAGATTCACCTGCCTCTGCCTCCAGGTGCTAGGATTCAAGGTGTGCACTATCACGCCCTGATTTAAATTATTTTTGAGACAGGGTTTTGCTCTTATAATCTAGGATAGCCTCAAATTCACAATCTTCCTGCTTCAGCTTTCCAAGTATTGCTGTTACAATAGTGTGCCACCACACTCAGGGCTTCATGTAGCCCATGCTGTCTTCAGACCTTTCTGGTGTGGGATATTTGTACAATGTGTGAAGATGTATTGCTGTGATTGGTTCAATAAAGAGCTGAATAGCCAATAGCTAGGCAGGAGAGACTGGGTGGGACTTCCAGGGAGAGAGAGGAACATCTGGGGCATGTGGGAGACACCAGTGAGACACTGAGAAAGTCAGACATACGGAATGAAGGAGAGGTAAAAGCTACATGACAGAATGTAGATTAATAGAAACAGGTTAATTTAGGTTATAAGAGCTAGTTGGAAACAAGCCTAAGCTAAAGGCCAAGCTTTTACAATTAAAAATGTCCCCATGTCATTATTGTCCAACAAGAAAGACCAACTACACCCTTCTGCCTCCACCTCCTAATGCTGAGATTATGGGTGTGTGCCACCACACTCAGTTTATATATGGTGCTGGCAATCAAACTCAGAGCCTGAGGCAAGTACTTTACCAAATGAGCTATCTCTAGTCAAAAATTAATCTTTTGATGACGAGTTTACTTGAGTCTACTGGAATAGTCACTCCAAGAATGATTTCCATGAGTGCCACCATTTTCTCCTGTTATGTCTTCTCAACCTCACCATCATTCTCTCAGTGCTTTGGAAAATGACAATGCAATTTTGTGGTGGGAGAATACTATAAAATCTGAACCTATCCTACCAGACAAACAGCTACAAATACAAGATTCCTCCAGTTTACAACAGATTTGATTTGGGAATGCTGTGGATATTGCTTTGTATAAATAAAATGCTGATTGGCCAGTAGCCAGGAAGGAAGTATAGGCGGGACAAGCAGAGAAGAGAATTCTGGGAAGTGGAAGGCTGAGTCAGAGAGACACTGCCAGCCGCTGCCATGACAAGCAACATGTGAAGATGCCGGTAAGCCACGAGCCACATGGCAAGGTATAGATTAATAGAAATGGGTTAATTTAAGATATAAGAACA